GGAGCATGGAAGTCACATAAATGTGTCTCCTTCATACATGGGGAATAATTGTTTCCATTCCACAAGCAATTTTTTTACAATTTTATTTTAATTTGTTCTCATGCTTTGTAAACACAAAGTAGGTAAACAGGAAAGTTTAAATCCTCATCCCCACCTTGAAAATTCACATTTTTCCCCTATATTAAATGGTCACTTACCAATTGTCTGGAACTCATTCCGATATTTACTATAAATTTATAAGACCTCAATCTGCTTAATGGTCACCTCAATTACAATAGGAAGACAGGGTCACTTGGAATTCCCAAATGGGTACTACTTCTTCTAAAGAGTCACCATTTCAAATCACAATCTAGAGAATGTGTGGTCTGAATTTTTTATTTTTATGTTTGGTCTCATTATTTCTTGTCCCACTTGAACTGAGCAAATTCAAGGATAAGCTTCACTGAGCTACAATTATCAAAAGTCAAGGTTATCATGGCTGATTTATTAATCTTTAACTCCCAAGGTCTCATCAGTAATTCTCCTTAATGTCTGCCATACAGTTCTTGTCATGTTACTTGAAGAATTTGGTATTGGATCAACTTATAATCCCCTTATTGATATTTTTGAGTTATTAAAAAATAATAATAATAATAATAACATTTGTGTTAGCGTATAGAGAGTGGTATGTTGCTTGCACCAATCAGATAGTTTAGGGTATGTAACTTGCACCAATCAGATTGTTTTTTTTGTTCCTTGGTTTGAGAGGTGTTCAGATTTCAAAGAAGTAATGGGGGATTCAAAGAGAGGGTTTGTAAAATTGAATCATCTTTGAGAATGAGAAATGTTGGCTTTTCTGTGTTCTTAACGTGTATTTTACTGCAATTTATGAGAAATGCAATACTACTGGACATATGAAATATATCAGATTACGTAAAGTAAACGTGTTACTCATGCTGTGAAAATGGTGAATAGTTATCAGAGAAAAAATGAAGTCCTGTGCACTGTAGCACGATCATGGTTATTGTTCCTTCACAGTGAGAGTTAGTGGAACAATTTTGAATCAAATATTGCTTGAGGTGTTGATGAATTGCTCCAAAAATTTTGGTTTGAGCAGTTCTATAACGGCAAGCTGTGTTGCAAGATTCATAATTTGTTGAGTGTGCTATATACTTACATTTTTCTGGATTGATTTGCTTGGTGCTATCACTAGATGAATATCTGATTAAAATTAGCTATGGATAATTTTGTGTATGTTTTCGATGCCTGGAGAAAGTGATCTTGTGGAGTCGTTTATGTTTGGCCAAGGACAAATTCAGATACCATCGTTATCTGGAATGATAAAGTCAAAGCAACAGTTTTGGTCTCGGTCCGCATTTTTGTCGACAAAATAAGCACATACTACTTAAAAAGATGAATATATGGACCATGTGCATGTGCAAAACTGTTAGTTGTTTCTCCATTTCTGCGTGTGTTAAATATTCAATGGTGACATCTCATTTACATCTACAGCTACATCTACTTTATTGCATTGGTAAAATCTGTACAGACATCATACCAACCAACTTGTGCGCAAAGTGAGAAGACTACATGAAGGCTTGAAATTATATTGAGAATGATTTTGATCAAAAAATGGGCCAGGAATATTCCACAATAGTGCAATAAACGTGAAAGCTGATCGCAGAAAAGCAATTGTGTGATGATCAGTAAGTTGTAAGAGGACATGTTCTCACATACCAGACAAAAAACTCTTTAGATTCTCAGTCTGCATTTTGTAGTCTGCAGTGTACATTTTGTACCTTGTCTTCATTTTGTATCTGGTCTGCTGTCTGCAGTCTGCATCTTGTACTAACAGGTATATTTAATAGTGGCACCTGAATACCTGTGTGTGAGTTAATTGGACATTTTTGCTCTTTTCTGCACCTATACTCTTCTTTCCTTTTGTGAAAAAATATATCCCACAGTAAAAGGTTTTACTTTCCCTGAAACCTCCAGTTCTTGAAGGAAAGTTGCAAGAGACAAGATTGTGTCAACTTTATGGGATGCCTTTGTGAATATTCAGAACACTTTCAGAAATTTTCAGATATCTGTTTTAAATTAAATCAGGTCCTCCACAAAAATGCTGGCATTCTAAGAAATAAAAATCTTATTCATTAACCTGACTCAATGAAACTTGGCTGGTAGAACAGAACACATATTTGAATTGCTCGAGATCCTTCAGCACCTTATTTTTGCTTTTTAGTGTAAAAATCACTTATCAAACCCTTAAGCACTTGATTAAAATAAACAGATTTAGAGCACTCTCTCCTCTCCCATTTAAGTACTTGTAAAAAAAGCTTTTTTTGATTAAGAAGTATAGCATAATTTTAAACTACATGTCCAGGTAAGAATAACAAATTAAAGACAGTAAGCATATTGATATATAATGGTAGGCTTTGTACATAATTATGTGTATACATGTATAATTAACTATGTTTTTCTTTTTCTCTATTTGTCTTGTGGCTGATTAAAATAAGCATTCAATTTTTACCAATATGATTTAAAATGATATGTGCTTAAGCTGAGAGGTATAACATGTACATGTAGAGTCTGCCATTTGAACTGTGTGGGAAGCTCAGGATGACAAGGTCATCATAAAGAAGGGGCCAAATGTGGTAGAAATGCTTATTATTACACTTATTATGTTGTGTTTACCTGTGGATAAAATGCAGCAACAATTTGTTTTCGCAAAATGTTAAAATGCTTAGTGAAAATGTGGTAATGAAAATGTGGAAAATGTGGCCAAACGTTGGGGAGAAGGAAGTCATTGATTCATGAAAAAGCTATCCTTCCTTTAATGCTTAATGACAAACCTGTCATCTGCTTTTTTATCTGAACTCAGTGACTGGCGGTGTAATGGTGTGATATTGTTTTCTGCCCGAAAGATAGAGGATTGCAACCATTTAAGAAACTATTCTACAAATGACAGATGTTTTTCTCCTTGAAAAATGTGTGGGCATGTAGATGTTATATCCCATCTGCTTGAGAAAGAACATGAAAATACTGTGATAAGATTTACAAAATTATGGTGAAGTTGTGGAAGTTGTAAACAGGAGCCATGGTGTGATCGGTATGTTTGCTGGTGTTGTAGCAGCCATCATTTCTCTTTCTCATCAAGAAAGGTGAATTTGTTTTCAATCTTAGTCTCATACCATATCACAATCCAGGTATTTGAGGATGAAGTACTATATATAGAGTTCCAGATACATCTTGTTTCAGACTTGAGGAATTATTTACTTTTTGCCAGTTTACGAAACTTTCCGGTCAGAGAGTAATAACTGTGTCAGCTGCAGATACTGGTCTTCACATGCTATGCCTTCTTGTTGTTTGCAAAGTAATCTTTCAGTCTGGAATTATTAATATGAATCCTGTGTGGAAATTCATCTCTCGTGCATTTGCTATGTGATTCAATCAGCGGTAGTTGGTATCAAGTGTCTAGGGAAGCTGGTTGTTCCAAATGTTCTGTAAGGCTTATACAACAGTCACAATAGGATTGGTTTATTTGTAACTTTTCTTTACTTTAGACAATATTTGGCGATAACTATTGTAAATGTATGTACATGCTGGTTAGAAATGCAATGTCCATTGTGAAAGCATGAAAGAACAAATCCAGAACTTTTCAGTAATCAAGTAGAACTAATTTTTTAAAATATTTGTAGACTTTTCATTTAGAGTGGTCAGTTCGCCTAAAAGAAACAAAGTACAGGATATTGAAACTTCTGTTGGAGAGAGAGATGCATGAGTTGCCACTTAGGGATACATTTTTTGAGTAATACTTTATTTCAATATAGGATTTAGTGTTAAAATTTGTTGTGATGAAAGTAAAAATTTATAAGTTTTGTATCGATGAAAGTAAATCCCAGGGCCAAGGCTTAAATAATTTTCATATTGAAGAAATTGAGAAAATGGGATTGCAATTGTCATAAATTTTAATAAAACATTTACAATGATGGAGCTATTTTATAAAACTGCATTTTGAACAACCCAGGCGGGCTGGTTATGAAGGATTTGCAGTAAGCACTGTTTATGGCTGATCCAGCAATGTAAACAAAAGATTTATTGACAGTCTTGGAGGCAAATAAGCTACATCCTGTCCATCAGAAAAAAGTGAGCCATTTTTTGGTTAAAATAATTAAGCCTTTGTTAAAAGTTTCGTACTCGCTTAAAGACCTGGACCAGGTCTCAGAGTAACAGGTGGTTACAGCTACCCCAAGTTCCTTTGCTCCCAAGTATGGTTGTGTCGCCCCCCACTTGAAGTTGCATTGTTTTAATTACTATTACTGATTAGTTATTTAATTGGAAGATTATTAATGCCAAAAACTTTCAAGTTGTAACAATAGTAACTTTGCAATCTCAATCATGTGACAGCAGAGTGCAAGTCAGTCAAGGGTCCCTTTTGGAGGTGTTTCCATGCTCACTCTAGATGGGTAGTTATGAAAAAGTTTTTGTTGTAATTGGTCAGTGCAGGGATCGAATGAGAAAATGCAAACTGGAAACATACTGTTTAGATTTAGGTCAGATTTATAATATTTTCCCATTCAGATCCAGCTTTAATAGAGTCTGCTCCAGTTAATGAAATTTTCTCTGAAAAAGACAACGTGACTTTACATTGTAATGCTACTGGCAATCCTACACCAAACATAACTTGGACTAAAGGTGGCAGTTTATCAGTGCTACATCAAGGGGATATTTACAGCATTGTAAACATACCCAGAGAGGCAGCAGGAAATTACACATGTACAGCTTGGAATGGAGTTGGTAAATTAAAGAAAGCTACTGCTGTCATTGCTATCCATTGTGAGTTGATTTTTTCTTGACCTTTCTCATGTTCAGATTTTTTATGTTATTTAAAATGATGAGAATGGCAAATCATTTTCAGTTGAACCTTCTGTGGTATTTATTATTTTTGGGGTGTTGTTGTAGTTGTTGCCTGTCATAGTTTAAACTTTTTGATTTGCATTGTAGATCCTCCTTCGATAAAAATGAACAGAAAAGAAGTTATAGTAGTTGAGGGTCACAATACCAGTTTGACATGCAATGTATCTGGTAAACCAGAACCTACCATCACATGGACTAAGCAAGGTAGTGGTGTGGTGCTCTCAAATACTTCATCATGGGTTGTGTTAAATGTAAGCAGACATGACGCAACTGATGACATAATACAGTATCAGTGCAAAGCTAGTAATGGAGTGGGAACACCTGCAGCAGCTACTGTCAACGTCACTGTTTATTGTAAGTACTATAGGTTTATTTGTTACCACTAGCTAAGCTGAAGTTTCTATGAACTGTTGCAAAGAAAAACTTTCTTTTTTGTAAAGCTACTGGAAACCCACAATCAAACATAAGTTGACCAAAGCAGGTTGGCACTAAAACTTGTGTACTTTACAGAGATCTCTCTTTGTCAATGTAACCATGATAGACGACCAAACAGAAAACAAATGCAGGGTCCTGGACTAATTGGGATTCCTTGAAGCGTTTGCTCTTCCCCCTTGTAGTGTGAAAGTAGGGTGTAGAATTGTTTGTTATGGTACATGAAATATTTATGTGTCATGATACTTATGATGATAGGAAATCTCTCATAGGCAAGGAAACCTCTTTTGGTCCTTTTAGTGTGTACATTCATCACCTGTATCAGTAAAGACTTTGCAACATTTTTGAGGTCTATATGAATTTAGCTTAAACATGCTTTGATAATCACAGTGATATCAATTTTTCCTTTTCAGATACATCTGCTATTAAGTCTGCTCCAGGTAATCAAGTTGTCCTTGAAGGAAACAACTTGACTTTACACTGCAATGCATCTGGCAATCCTTCACCTAATATCACCTGGACTAGAGATAAAGGTTCTTCTGTCCTACATCAAGGCAATATAGATAGATTTACCTTTGTTCATTAAGTAAACGGCGAGGAAAGTAACTGTGGGTAAATTCAAGTTTTTTAATTTGAAGTTGTGAGAGTTTGTTCGTTTGTTTGCTGCAATGGCGTGTGTATATCTGGTCTTTCCTCCACAAAAACTAACTTCGAATGGCACACTCCAACGAGACAGAAGGGGATTTAATGCGGCCTTTTCTCAAAAAATTCCTTCAGTTTCTGTTGTGCAATTTATGGTACAAATGTTCAAATTGAACGGACTTGGAAAGACTCACCGAGAGCGTATATTTGTTGTAGAACTTAAATTAAAACTTCGCTCACTCTTTCATTACGAACAAGATGTTTGAGAAAATTCAGGTATTTAAATGAATGAAAGTTCCATTGTTCAGTTTAACTGTAACCAAATACCTCACGTTTTAACTCTCTAGGTACTTTTTGCAGACGGTTTTTTGGCCGCTTGTCAACCAACGTAATGATTTACTATTGTTTATACAAATTCATTCTGAAACCAATATTTTTCTGTCAACCAAAGTGATTTGAGAGAGAGAAGAGAGATGATTCATAAGTTATTTATCGGCTTGAGGTAAGGACCGACGTGTTTGCTTAAAAATACTGCCCAGCCGGAAGAACGAGATATTTTTAAGAAAAATGGCACCGAAAGTTGGGATGTACTCGGTGACTCACGAAAGCGTTCCCGTGGCCCGTGGGCAGAGATGGGAAAATACGGACCGGGTAAAGAACCAATCAGATCACAGGACTCGTTACCCCGCCCTCTAAAAAAATTAACTAAAGTGATTCTTAAGTTAAGAGATGTAACTGATGAAGTTTTCTCGTGATATTAACCTTCAAAATGATCTGCTACACCTTATTTTCAGATGGTGCTGACATTATCTCTGCTCCCAAAAACAAGACAGTCCTGGAATTTTACAATGTTACTTTCTTCTGTAATGCATCAAGTAATCCGCCCTCTCAGATTATCTGGACCCAAGAAGGAAACAGTACAGTTCTGCATAAAGGAGAAACCTTTGTCATTGCAAATGTTTCAAGAAAACTTAATAGACAGCGATACAAATGTAGGACATGGAACAATGTCACCAAAGATGTGGAGGCATATGCTCATCTCAGTGTCTATTGTAAGTATGACATCATGGTAACACTACAACATCACTAGGATTTGAGAATTCAAAAGCTTGTAATGTACTGCAAGGGTCGAGCCAACGGTAGATAATTCATATTATTTCCTTAAATCACTTTTCAGAAATGAACCAAGTGTAATACATTTAAGGATGGATGAAATAGTTCTGATCACATAGTAAAGTTGGGTTGCAAGTCATCTAGAATGAAGTAGAATGATACACATGACAAGCACAAAACTGTCAGTGATTGCCCTTCAGTGTTTGTGAGCGTTTATTGGTTGCTTCAATGTAAAGTAACCGATGTAATAGTTACTAAATGCGACGTGTAATTTATGTTGTATTTTTTACTGTTCAGTCTCCTTAGAGGTGTTTGTTAAAAATTATCAAAAAAAAATGAAAGATAGGTACTTGTATGTTGGTGTTTTCGCGTATCTGTTACAAATTGCATTCGTAAGTGTAGTATTCGATGTGCGATTAATTCATGTACATGTGAAAGTCTTGGAAATTTTCACAAGACAAATTGTTGGTCCTGCTAAATCTGTACAATGTAAGTATTAATAAAATTGTTTTAATAGTTATTTGTTGTTCAAAGATGTATTGTAAAGCTAACTACTCCTCTCAACGCAGCATCTCAAGCATAGAACTCGTTTGGAGTGTGAGACTTCTTGGACTTCCACTTAAACTTTTGACATGTGTTGAAACTGCTTCTCAACTTTGAACCACCGTATATAAAACATCACTTCCAAAAAGTAATTGGTGATGTTGAACGTTTTTCATCGCATATTTCCGAGCTCTAGGAACACGGGTAACCGGTCAAGTCGCCCGAGAGTAATCTCGCCCGAAGTCATGTCGCTCGAAACCTGAGTCGTGTTGCCCGAAATTTTAGTAATTCATCCTTGCAGTGATCAGCCAAAGTCTTCTTCGCTTTGTTAGAAACGAAGAAAAATATTCTGAAGCTTACGAAATGTCCGTGAGTAAGAAAGGAGTCATACCAAACGAACAACGCTTCATTTTTTGTTAGAAACGGAGAACGCTCCCTTTGTTGTTAAAAACGAACGAAGCTTTAAGAATCTTTATGATGTCGTCGGAAACAAAAAGCGCTTTGGTGATAAAAATTTCTCAACGTTATTGCCTATTAGCAGTCTGCTGAAATTCAGATCTTTTTAGTATTTGTTTCTTCGGAGGACTTGACTTTTTTTTCGGGCGACATAACTAGAATTTCGGGCAACATGATTTAGGTTTCGGGCGAGATGACTCTCGGTCGACTTGACTGTAGACTGGAGCACGACATGGTGTTTCGTCAGTGCTGTTTTTATATGGAATCCGTTGAAATTGGCAAATAACATTTATGAACGTTTTCGCTATTATGAGCGAAATAGAGCTGCACACATTCAGAAAATATTTAGTTCCCTTCCAAACCAAGGTAAACAAGAGGCTACACTGAGCCCATATTCTGGCCGGATTTGCGGTTCAGAGGGAACGAATTGAAGGCCTTGCGGTTTTTAGCGAAATCGCTGTTGAGTGCTTTTTATTGTTTACTAAACATGGAGAGTTATGAAGATTAAGACTTCATAATTCGAAGTTCTCGCTATGGTGCGAAGATAAATACTGTCCTTCTGTCCACTTTCAGTCTGTTATTAAAATACATGTAGTTACTATGACGTGATCGAGCGACGGTGTAATATTTCAATTTTGCGTACAGTACCATTCGTCCTCAAGAAAACCCACCGTTAAAGAGTGCAATTTGGAAACACTTAACACGAATTTGATGAAAACTTCAATATCAAGATTAATTTTAGAGAAAGATGTTTTTCGTGTTGTCACGAGCGTGTGACAAAGAGAAAAAATTCTGAGTCCCGATTCCGCGCTCCGATGCTCTATTCTATTCTAGGGTGAGCAAGGTATATTACAAAGTTCATATGACACGCGTCCTGCATACTGCTAAGATCAGGAATGTCGATAGCGTCATGTTTTAAATTCAAGAGTTAACACTTTGCTTCTCATACTGTTGACGTCAGTTTTGTACGCCATGAGCTGTCAAAATTAAAACTATCAAAAGCTTCTGGGCTCGACAAAATCCCTGCAAAACTCTTCAAAGACACAGCCTCTGTTATAGCCAAGCCAGTCACTTATCTTATGAACCGTCACAGTGGAAGGAAGCTAAATTAACTCCAATTTATAAGACTGGGAAAGAAGGATGATGAGAACAACTATCGTCCAATTTCGGTTCTCCCCTTGATTTCTCAGCAAAGTGATGAAAAGTGCAGTTCAAGTTCAAATGTTCGCCTTTCTTGACGAAAACAAAGTTTTCTAGGTTTTTCAATCCGGTTTCCGTAAGAAGCATTCCACTTAAACTGCGGTTGTCTACCTGGTTGATCATATATTGCCACCTTCACAAGCTGGAGCACTGTAGAGTGACAGGATGCAGTCTTACCTTGTTCAGAAATTATCTGACTGCTCGTTTGCAGACAGTTCAATATGAAAAAGAATTATCTTCCAGCCTTACTTTAGACTTCCGCGTTCCTATAGGTTCCTTACTAGGACCATTGCTATTTGTGATAGAAACAAACGACCTGCCTCAATATTTGCTGCATTCGGCGATTAATTATGTATGCCGATGACACCGTGATGTATTATACTGGGTCTGATATCAACATCATCAGAGAAAATCTAAAAGAAGACCTCAAACGAGTCGAGCAGTGGTTGATGAGTACCAGACTAATACTAAATCAGAGCGAAACGAAAGGCCTACTTTTTTGAACAATGCAACCGTAGCAAACCTCATCAGGCTTTGTACTGAAGATCCAAGGAAAGGACATGGAGCGAGTGACGAAGTTCAATTATTTTATTATGCTCAATGAACAGCTTCACTGGAAGTAGCGTGCCCACTCTATTTGTAGCAAAGTCAACAGGCGTTTGGGACCTCTAGCACGGATAAAATATTTCCTTACTCATAGGGCAGCGAAGTTTGTCTACAATACTTTTATTGAGCAAATCCTGTGTTATACCGACACTGCATGGGGTGAACTGTCAGCCACCTCCAGCAAAACCCTTCAACGGTTACAAAATCGTGCCACCCGCATCGTCTTAAGGCGTGACTTCTGTAAAGACACTTTAAGTGTCTTAGGGTGGGCTGAGTTACAAATGAAACGGAAAAGACACAAATGTGTTTTAGTTTATGAATGCTTAAATATGCTAGTACCCTTGTATTTATGTAAATATTTTATTAGAAACTACAATGTACATAGCTATGAAACTCGCAGAAGAACTAATTTGCACCTGCCCAAACCGAAGCTTGGCCTTGGGAAACGAAGTTTTAAATATTTGGGCATGGGATTTTTTAATTTGTTGTCTCGTTACATTCAAAAGGCGGAGTCACTTTCTTCCTTTAAATTTTTGATGAATACTCACGATTTTTAACATTTCGTCGTTTTAAATTATTACCTTCTCTTTTTTTAATAACTATGTATTCTATTTTTACATTATTATACTTTTTAGTCTAGGCCTCCTCTGGATACCAGCCTCAAGGCTGATTTGGCCACCCTGGTAAAATAAAGTTTAACTTGCCCCCTTAGCTGAGGAGAGGGAAAATTTAGAAAAGCCTGCACACTCTCTACCCATACCTTTTGTGCCGTTTGACCAAAATGTTTTCAAACTTCTTACCAATTAGTAGGCTACATGAGAGGTATGGCCCGTATCACGAGTCCTATTTCTATCTCCCGCCTTCAAGTGGAAAATGGCTCATATCTTGGCTCATATCAGCGCTATGACTTCATTTGTTTTTTGTAGATAACGCAAACCTTACCACATCTCCTGGTAACACTACAATGTTACGTAAAAGCAATCTAACGTAACCATGATCATTTGTTTATCGTTTCATTAACGTTTTTTCGTGTTGAGTATTCACAAAAGCAATAAAAGAAATAGCTACTCTCTCGTTTGCAGAGGGAAAATACAACACTCTAAGAGCTGACACTGATTGAAGCAGTGGACGATAACCTTTGTCAGTTTCATGATTTGTTTCCTTTTTTCTTTTTAGATGCTCCTGACGGCGCAAAACTCATTTCAGCTCCCAGAAACGCGACAGTGCTTCGCAAAAGTCCTCTCAGTTTAGCATGCCGAGCCGATGCCAATCCTGTAGCTGAATTTCATTTGTACTTTAACGGTAGACTTATAATTACCAACAGCTCAGGGATTTTTAATGTTACTGTGATGTCCGATGGTGTGTACACCTGTGTTCCTTTCAACGAAGTTGGAGCTGGAAAAAATGCCAGTGTCAGTGTTTCAGCTGTTGGTGAGTTTACAGTCAGGCTAATATACTCGATTGCAAGAAACGGAAAGTCACAAACCATGAACAAGTAAACTCAGTTGATTTACTTTTATCTTTAGTTATGCAAATCTTTTTTTGAAAGATAATTCCTTTTCTTTCGGGAAAGCTGGAATAGCTTTCATCATTCACCATTTTCAAGTAGTTGTGTTTTTCTGAACATGTACACCCCGGAATTAAGCCGTTAGATCCCACCGTTCAGTTTTTGCTGTCGAGTGACTAAATGAAACAGAGTGACTTTTTAGCAGATCACGTTGTAAGAATATTTAACTGTGAGAGTAAAATTTTTGTTACGGGAATCGGTTGCAGTCCTATCTGCAGTCCTATCAGAGATACTTGCAGTTACAAGTACATCTTAACTGATGGCATTTACTAAATGACAAAGGCTCTCTGAGTTAGGATACTTCAATAGAATCTCTGGCAACTTTTCTTGGCGTATTGTTATGCGCTGTTCTTAATTTTTTGTGCGTCAGTCGGCTTCATTATACGATAGTTAGGGTTAAGATTCAGGTCGGGTTTTGGGTAAAGTAGGTGACCTATTTCTTAAGGCGTAGCATTTCTACTATGTTTCATCATTTACAAAGACATGTCTGTCAAACCACTGATTATAGAAATTGTCTTCCAGAGGCGCCATCAGTTTCAGTTTTACCTAACACAACAACTGTCATTGACGGAAATAGCTTAAACTTGACATGTAATGCGTTTGGAAAACCAAAAGCAAGCATTAAGTGGACCATGGTTAACTATTCTAAAGTCCTATCCACTGATTCACGACTCACTGTAAATGTAAGCAGACCTGGGACAGCAGACAACATGATCCAGTATCAATGTACAGCCAGTAATGGAGTGGGAACACCCGCTACAGCGACGGTCAATGTCACTGTTCACTGTGAGTAGCTATTTGTATAACAGTCTTGAAACTGCAAGAATTGTTTAACAGTTATTTTTTATAACATTGGATGTGAGAATCCAAGCAAATGTGAATGAAATGATAGCCTAAAAGTATGAAATTCACTTAGATGCTCTGAGAAACAACATGGTAAAGTTAAATTGCAAATCATGTAGAATGAAGTAGAATGATACACATTGCAAGCACAAAACAGTCAGTGATTGCCCTTCAGTGTTTGTGATCGTTTATCAGCTTCTTCAATCTAAAGTAACCGATGTAATAGTTACTAAATCTCACGTGTAATTTATGTGGTATTTTTTTAATGTTCAGTCTCCTTAAAGGTGTTTGTTAAAAATTATAAAAAATGTTAAAGATAGGTACTTGTATGTTGGTGTTGCTACGTATTTGTCACAAATTGCATTCATGAATGTAGTATTCCATTTGCGATTAAATTATGTACATTTGAAAGTCTTGGAATTTTCACAAGACAAGTTATTGGTCCTACTAAATCTGTACGATATAAGTATTGTTAAAATTGTTCTAATGGTTATTTGTTATTAAGACATGGATTGTAAAGTTAACTACTCCTGTTAACGCAGCGTCTCAAATAAGGACTCATTTGGAGTGTGAGACTTCTTGGACTTCCGCTAAATTTTTTGACATCTGTTGAAGCTGCTTCTCAACTTTGAACCACTATCCGTAAAACATCACTTCTAAAAAGTCAATTGGAGATGTTGAAGGTTTTTCGTCACATGTTCTCGAGCTCTAGGAGCACGACATGGTGTTACTTCATGGTTTTGGTTTTTTATATGGAATCTGTTGAAATTGGCAAATAACATTTATGAACGTTTTCGCTATTATGAGCGAAATGGAGCTGCACGAAGCCTATATTCTGGCCGGATTTGCGGTTCAGAGGGAACGAATTGAAGGCCTTGCAGTTTTTAGCGAATCGCTGTTGAGTGCTCTTCATTACTTACTGAACATAGAGAAATAGAGATTAAGACTTTGGAACGAAGTGATGCAGCTTATTGTAATATGCGAATCGAAATGAGAATCTGTAATTTGCGAAACGGAAATATGCTATTGATTTCCTCAATAGAAATCTGTAAATCTGTGATTTGCGTACGAGAATCCCTGCAGAAAACTCCAAGAGCCAGAAGAATTCGTTTCCACGAAACAATAAAAATCCTAAAATTTCTGATTTTAGTATTTTCCAATTTGTCGTGAAAAGGAAAGGAAAGGAAAGGACATTGGAAATAATAAAATCGCGTAGCAAAGTCACTTTTTGACTTAGCTTGAGTCGCAGAGAAATCAAGAATGATGGTTACCTCGGGCTTTATACAACACCGGTGCCAAATACAATCCTACGTTCATCAAATTTCCGGTCGCGAAATTCATCAAATTTTAATGCGGCGATTCAAATCTTTCTCTGCTTGCACAAGCCAAATTCCCGTATTTTCCATTCCTATGACAAGTCTCGCCTCATAATCGCTCAATAAATATTTGCATTTGAACGCGATAGTTTTTGTTTACAAGGTTTTCTCCGCGTACATCTGATAACGAATCTCTGTTTTCTGCCTCGGAACGATATACCACAGAAGGCATTTTATGGACTGCAAGTTTTTTTGACTGATTGAAATTAAAAATATGTGGCAATGACTTTCAAAAGTTTTTTTTTTGATGACAGAAAAGTACGTTTTTTTTTTGTCCGTGAAAGTAATCTACTGATCGATCCCATCGCCAATGTTTACATAAGATAGTCAAATTGATTAATAGAAATAAATCAATCAGCCATTCAACTTAAACTGTTCCCACGGTTGTTGTTTCTCACTACGTCAATAATTGAAGCGATTCACAGTATTGGGTTTGTGCTTTAAATAAATATTTTAAAGTTTGCTCGAAAGATAAGTGTAAATTGTAACAAGCTTGGTTAACGTTTATGCGCGGCTCAGCACTTCAAGCCTGCATACACTCGATGCTAAACTCAACCTCGTTCCGTGTCTCTATGCCCACCACATTACTTTTCGCTGATTAAAAACTGCCACGTAGCGCCTATTGTGCATTTTCTTGCGGAGGAAAACTAAATCCAATTTCTGATTCTGGCCTGTTTACGGCTAGAATAATTATAATGAGACCGTTTGGTGAGTCTTCAATTGGTGTTAATAGCTGAAAATTATATTTTATAGTCTCGCAAGTGGCATCGAGCTACACGTAATTCCGGGTGCCGAGATGAATACTGTCCCTCTGTCCACCTTCGTCTTTCGTGTAAATATATGTAATTACGATGACGAGATCGAGCGACGGTGTAACATTTCGATTTTACAAACAGTACCATTCGTCCTCAGCAAGATCCTCCGTTAAAAGAGAGCGATTTGAAAACACAACACAAAGTCGATGAAAATTTCGATTGTCAGAAAAAAATTTCTTAGTCCCGATGGGGAATCGAACCTCAGATCTTCGGATTCCGCGCTCCGATGCTCTATCACTAAGCCACAGAGACTCTACAGAGAGTGAGGTCTATTGCGATGTGTCACGCGTCCTGCATACTGCTAGGAACAGCAATGACGATAGCGTCATGTTTTAAATCCAGAGCTAACTAGGACTGATTTCGCAGAAAAAAAATCGGTGTCTTCAGCTCAAGGCCGCCAAGAGAACATTTTCAAATGAGATCGAAACTATTTGTGCCATATAGCCAGCCAGGGCCAATGCCTGAAATCGCATAAAACCCTCTAGAGTGATTTCCGTGAAAACGAAACGATTAGTATGCGATCTCCTCCGTCGAACGCCAAAAGGTCTTTGCATTTGTTGGTCACCACTGCCTCCTTCACTAGAGCACTATGGAGTTACAGGATGCAGTCTTACCTGGTTCAGAAATTATCTGACCGCTCGTTCGCAGACAGTTCAATACGAAAAATCATCCAGCCTTACTCTAGACTTCGGCGTTCCTCTAAGTTCCTTACTGGGACCATTGCTATTTGTGATAGACGTAAATGACCTGCCTCAATGTTTGGTGCATTCGGCGATTAAGTTTGTATGCCGATGACACAGTGATGTATTATACTGGGTCCGATATCAGCATCATCAGAGAAAATCTGAAAGAAGACCTCAAACGAGTCGAGTAGTGGTTGTGAGTAACAGACTAATACTAAATCAGAGCGAAACAAAAGGCCTACTCTTTGGGACAAGGCAACCGTAGCAAACCTTATCAAGCTTTGTACTGCAGATCCAAGGAAAGGACATGGAGAGGGTGACAAAAAGTTCAATTATTTTATTATGCTCAATGAACAGCTTCACTGGAAAGAGCATGCCAATCCTATTTGTAACAAATAGTCAACAAGCGTTTGCGATTTTTAGCACGGATAAGATCTTGCCATACTCTTAAGGTAGCGAAGTGTGTTTATAATACCCTTATTGAGCCAATCCTGTGTTATACCGACGCTGCGTGGGGTGAACTGTCAGTCACCTCCAGCAAAACCCTTTAACGGTTACAAAAACGTGCTACCCGCATCGTTTTAAGGCGTGATTCCTCTAAAGACACTTTTAATGTTTTAGGGTGTGCTGAGTTACAAATGAAACGGAAAAGACACAAATGTGTTTTAGTTGATAAATGCTTAAATAAGCTAGTACCTCGGTATTTCTGTAACTATTTTATTAGAAAATACAATGTACATAGCTATGACACTCGCTGAAGAACCTATTTGCACCTGCTCAAACCGAAGCTAAGCCTTGGGAAACGAAGTTTTAAATATTCGGGCATGGCCCTTTTTAATTTGTTGTCTCGGTACATTCAGAACGCGGAGTCACTTTCTTTCTTCAAATTTTTGATGAATAGTCACAATTTTTAACATTTGTATTTTTAAATTATTACTGTAATGATGAGCGTACGATGCGGTGATTCAAACCTTTTTATTGTATGGTTGACAATATATTGGTACGGTTGGTACGGTTCGAAATCAATTGGTCCGTCCGTACGTCTTCACCATTTAGCAGCGAACTAGTTAATTAGTCTTAGTGACGTAACGCTTAATGTGCTTAATTACACTTTACAATTATCGGTAATAGTTATTTAGCGATACAATTACATCCAGTATTTTTAAATAACTATATTGTATTTTTACATTATTATACTTTTTAGCCCAGGACCCCTCTGAACACCAGCCTTAGGGCTGATTTGGCCACCCTGGTAAAATAAAGTTTACCTTACCTCCTTACCTAAGGAGAGGGAAATTTTAGGAAAGCTTGCATTCTCTCTACCCATACCTTTTGTACCATTGCACCAAAATGTTTTAAAACTTCATACCAATTGGTAAGCCGCATGAGAGGTATGGCCCGTATCACGAGTCCTATTTCTATCGACCGCCTTCAGGTGGAAATTTTATGTTCTCTTGGCGCCATGACTTTATTTGTTTTTATGGTGCTCCTGCTAACGCAAACCTTACCACATCTCCCAGTAACACTGTAATACACAGACAGAAGCAGTTGACGATATCCTTTGTCAGTTTCATGATTTGATTCCCTTTTTTTTTAGACGCTCCTGGCGGCGCAAAACTCATTTCAGCTCTCAGTAACACCACAGTGCTTCGCAAAAGTCCCTTCAAGTTAACATGCCAAGCCGATGCTAGTCCTGAAGCTGAATTTCATTTGTACTTTAACAATAGACTCATAATGACCAACAGCTCAGGGATTTTTAATGTTACTGTGGTGTCTGATGGTACGTACACTTGTGTTCCTGTCAACAAAGTTGGTGCTGGAAAAAATTCCTCTGTCAGTGTTACAGCTGTTGGTGAGTTAACATTCAGGTTAATATACTCGATTTCAAAAACCGGAAAGTCACGAATCATTAACAAGTAGACCCAGAGATTTACTTTTATCCTTATTTATGCAAATGATTTTTATGATAATTTCTTTTATTTCGGGAAAGCTGGAATAGCTTTTATCATTCGCCAATTCAAGCAGTTATGATTGTCTTAACATGTACACCATAAAGCTGTTGGGTATTATCGTTCAGTTTTAGTATTTGAGCGACCAAAAGAAACAAAATCATTTTTTCACAGCTCACGTTGTGAGAATATTAAGCCGTGGGAGTAAAATTTTGCAACTTTATTAAATTTCCTATCTAGATAGACAGGGTTTATCTTGACATGTCTGTCAAACCACTGATAATAGGAATTGTCTTCCAGAGGAGACATCGGCTTCAGTTTTACCTGAAGCAATAACTATCATTGACGGAAATAGCTTAAACTTGACATGTAATACGTCTGGCAAACCAGAAGCCAGCATTAAGTGGACCATGGTTGGCTATGCTGAAGACCTATCCACTGATTCACGACTTATTGTGAATGTAAGCAGACAGTTAGCAAAGAAAAACACGATCCAGTATCAATGTACAGCCAGTAATGGAGTGGGAACACCCGCTACAGCTACAGTCAATGTTACTGTTCACTGTGAGTAGCTATTTGTATAACGGTCTTGAAACTGCAAGAAATGTTTAACAGTTATTTTTTACATCGTTGGATATGAGAGTCCAAGCAAATGTGAATGAAATGATAGCCTAAAACTGTGAAATTCACTGAGATGCTCTGGGAAACAAACCCTACAAATCTATAGTTTGAGAAGTTTTTTGCTCTACTTGTTTGTGTCAGACGGCGTTCGTTTTATGTTGTCATTCTACAAAAACAAAACTTTCGGTAGATTATCGATGTTGAACGTAATCTGGTGTAAATAAATTTCCCATGCAATCTCCATAATACATACATCGTGGAGTGGTGTCGAAATTGAATTTTATGTCCCAACTCTAGGAAACATACGATAAAGTCACTCACCTCCCATTCAACTCACACCCGAACCGAAATCTGCTTTCTTTTCTTTGAAAACTCGATTAAACTATGGGAGTGTTTTTTTTTGTTATTTAGATCCAGCAATGTTTACTGACCCGGAAAATGTAACAGTGAACGTAAAAGTTGGGCAAGAAGTGGATCTTCTGTGTAGTGGTGAAGGTTATCCTACACCGGCGATTATTTTAACAGCGATTTATATCAATGGTAGTCACCGAAACCGTTTGTCAGGAGACAGCAATTTGACAATTGCAGCTGAGACTTCTTTCTGGTTTCAGTGTACGGTTGAAAATTACCTGGCCAAACGTATCAAGTGGTTTCACTTAGGTGGGTGAATTGTAAATAAGGCATACCTTAATCTATTTTAAATACTTTTGTTTTTTTTTTAATTGTTATGTGGATAACCGTTATACTTTCGGTCCTAGACCGTTCCCGGTTCTCCGTTCGCCGTTTTAGTAGCATCCCTTGAAGGTGTACCGTATCCTTAACATCCTTTATCCATTAGAACCACTGTTAAGCAAACTTTAAAATTTGTGTAAAAACACACATCTACTGCTGGGAACCACCCAAAACACACGTCGTCACCATTGTAGGACAACCCGGCTATGCAGAATGCATTTTGCGCGAGAAATACGACCGTTCAGGGCGGTTTAAGGGAAATTTTTTGTTGTGCATTTGAATTTCATTTACGACTAAGTTTGTGAGCTGCACCTTTTAGTAGTTACTGGCTTTTAAATTTTTAATGCATGCGCAGATAAGACCATACAAGAACATAAGTTACCTTTTTTAGTATTTAAACATCGTGGTAGCCAGGTTTGAAGGTGAATGCAATCTAACTGTGATAGCAACACTTCGTCAGTCACGGTTAAGTTTACTCCATACTGTTCATGAACGTAGCGGATGGAATTTGATGAAGTAAAGAAGATATGTCAAATTCAGACGCGAATAGTCGTGTTATAGTGAGATTTTCGAGATGAATTTGTCTGGCGATGGTTTATGTTGCAAAATTCTCATCACCAATTACAGCGTGGAGAGGCACTATACAATTTTTATGCACTCATTGTTACGACCCGATTCATATCAGGAAGATACGTATCAGAAGAAGTCGTGCACGTAAATTTTCCACGACGTATTCCCGGTTTAAAGGAAGCTCCACTCTTTTGTTTGGGATAATGAAGTTAAGTATACCATTAGCGGTAAACGAGTTAATAGGTAGTTGTTATTTTGCTTAGCAAGGCAGAAACCAAAGTTTGAACCGATTTCTCCTTTTTCCTTTCAGTTTTAAGTGTTATGAAGATCGAAATTACGATGACAATCGTCAACAAAGCCTGCAGTGATAATCCTGAAGAAATTATCAAACAGCTGCATAAACTTGTGAGTAAAATAAAGGAATTTGTCTTTCGTTTCAGGGTTCAAAATTTAGCACACTTGCCGGCTATTTTTCACCGAAGAACTAGAAATTTATAGAAAAACTTATGCTTATTGATCTTCTAACTGAAGTAAAAGTCGCTGTCATGTTATGGTGAACATTGCACATCAAGCAATAAGGCAACCAAGAAATGTTTTAAAAGCTGTTTTAAAATGTAAACGAGTTTAAAGTTTCAAAATTTGAAGCGTGCTACAGGGAGTATTTTTGTTTACAGTATTCAGCTTTCTACGTATTTGTTCAAGAGTGAAACATGCATGGTTGTGTACACTCCGTCACATAACCATGTTTATGTTTTTGCACGTATATACTACCTTTAATCAAGATTCATTTTCCGTCAAATCCTGTTTAATGTCGTTTGTAAAGCCTCCTCACCTGTTCAAATTAAAGTCGGTGCTTAACAGTACGGATTTGCCATGGCTGTGAATGAAGAAGCACAAACACCGAAAAAAAAAAGCCGTTCACCAAGCTTTGTTAGAAAAGGAATTGCTGCACCAAAACATGTTGATCAAAATAAAGATTCTGATGCTTAAATTGATTTAGCAATTTAAAGTATACTATATGTCCACCATATACAAATAATTTTTTGTCAAATAAAAAAGGTTTCTCTAGGAAAAGTTTGATTCAAGAAGATTTTGGTCATATGCTACGCAACGGGTCCCGTTTCAGCAATAAACACGCAGAATTTTCATTGGCAGCCGGGAAAAAAATGGGCCTCGACCAAAGCCTACAAATTCACATTGAAAGCTGAAAAATTACTCTGAATCCTGCGTTTTGTCATGAACTAGGGACAACGATGAAATTTGAGTTTTTCTTCTGCAGTCAAACTCCAGACCTCTGGATTTCGTGTTTCCTGATGCACCACATCTGAGACCATCGAGACAGAGCACCATCGAGTTCCCTGTAATGTAGCTTCCGTTGTACAGCACGGGAATACAGAACCTCAAGGTCTCGGGTCTGATCCCTCGTGGAGAAAACCTCGCTTAAAATTTGCCATTTTCTCATTGCCCGTCTCAGCGAATGGAGGTTTCCATTCAGCATGCGCTTTATCCATGTAATATTGGCTAGTCAAAGTTGTTAGATGAACCTTTGCTTTACAATAGGCACATGATTTTCAGGGTCGTGAGAAGTTGACGTAAATAGGAAGTTTTGCTTTCATTCCCTCACTTGATCATTTCATCATAAAGCACACCTTCGAAGTGATGTAGAATTATTTTATAAAACCACTCCATAATCCTATATGATTTTATTGCTCGAAGGTTTTTGTGGCCCGTTATGGCTGATGTGCACCGTATACCTCTAAGAAGAACGTATTAGTACATACACCTCATTGACTTTAGTGTCTGATATTTTCCCTTGCCAGGTGACTGACATTTTGAAGGAAAGGGATATACCTGTTGAGAAAGTTGAATCTGTGACATTTAGGTATGATATCCTCTTGCTCGTTTCCTGTATAGCACATGGGGTCTGCTCATTATGTGTCATTAAATAGATCTTATAAATCGCAAGAATAAGTTATCTCATGTATAGGACAGTAGTGGGGATATTAAACCAACAGATTTGCGGTCATTAATTCTAGATTCTTCTTTATATATTTTGGAGATGGCATGCAAAATTTTAGATTAAAATTATTTGACCTTAAATGAAGAACACGACTTCCGAATAGTGGCAATTGATGCACCTATCCATAAGTTGCGGATGTCACGGAAGTGCAGCGCGAAAACAAGGCTAGTCAGTCCTCAGTGCGTGAGGTGGTATAGCTAATTTTTAGTGTTTACGTTGAAGTTTACGGCAATTCCTGCTGTGTGCCTGAATGCAATCAAAAAGGTAAAATAGGGGACAACAATGAGAAGATATCATGTTTCAATTTTTTCACCGGTAAAACGAGACGTAAGTGATGGCTGCATGCGATAAGGAGAGATGAAGGAAAGGACTTTCGCGAGACAAAGGAGGATAAGGTACGCTCTCTACACTTTAGGCCAAGTGATTTGAGAAATTCGTTCAATGGGAGAGTGTATCTAATGCGATGAAATCATGGACCAGCACCATGACATACTGCTGTTCAGATTCATTTAAAGAAAGTGAGACCCTGCAAGGAACAAATGCAAATGAACTGAAGAAGGATGCCTTGGTTTCAAATCTGAGTGAACAGGTGAAGCCTTGAAACACAACAAACCCTTATTTGAGCTCTTAAACTGGATTTCGAGTCGAGAACATCCACTTAGATATTGCATCAAGGCCACGGACCCATATTTTTACCATACATAGTTTGTCTAAAGGAGAATGGCTTTGGATGTAAGATGTTCTGTTCACGAGTGGAATGATTTCTTTTTTCTGTTCACTAATAAACCAAAATTTGAGGCAGTTAACCTAAATTTCCTTTAATTTTTCCATGCCTCTGAATCACCTTGTGCAGCAGTTTTTTTGTTTAATTTCATTCAGTTTGTCCTCGTCAACAGTTAGATGTTCTAAAAGTGACGCTTGCACATAACGAAAAAGTGCACTTGACTGCGTCCAACCGACACACCGCTCTGAATTTTCTGAAATTTTCTGAAAACGTTTTGCCTTTCTCATGCTAATTGGGACTGAGTGAGTCTACCTGTGACGATCAATTTTTTTTCCAAATCTTGATATATGTATATTCAACTCAGCTAGAGTGAACATGGGCATACGTAACAGGCTAGAAGACCAACCGTCTTCAGGATATTTAATTGGCTTTATTAATGATGCGACTCCCTGGTCTACACAACCTTTTTGCTTTTCTTTTCTTTTTGTATAAATTTTATCCTTTCTTTTTGTACAAATTTTATCCTGGGTCAATAATATTATTGTAGCGACCACTTAAAATGTATTCATCCAACTCACGGTTATGAGAGACACAATTTCATTGTTTAAACAGTTTATTACTTCCATAACCTCAGAGTTATCATAAAAGGTAACAAGAAGCTGCTTTCAACAACGTGGTCTACGTAAATTCCAAATTACCTTTTCAGCTACGTATTCTGCTTTGTTTTGAGTCCTTTGCAAGAGTCGCCACGACATCGAGCCAGAATTTCGTTCTTCAATTTTCTGAGATGGCAACCTTCCTTCAAGAGAAGCACCTGGAATATCTTCCTTTGTGAGTTTCACAGCACCACCAGATTCCCCAGATGTTGTAATAAATTTTCCCTGCGGCGAACGGATTGACTAGCCTCGTTTTCTAGCCTGTGTCGGGTCTACTAGGTAATCAGGTTCTAACCGAGGCAAAAAACGACCAGCAAATATTTCGAGACTAAATCTTTATTAAAAGAATTGCAAACTTTTTGCTATGAAGCGAAAAACGAACGAATTTCTTGGGGGTATGAGACCACGCAGTATATTTAGCATGCTTAACTCGTTGTTTACTAGAATTAACGGCCAGAAAATTGCGCAGATTTCTCTTGGAAAACTTTAAAATTCTGAAATTGTACAGTTTTAATGTGAGATTCTATTGAACAATATACTTTTACGAAATATCAAAACTTTAAACTGATAGTATCAACCGTTCGGAAACGAACCGAAAACTATTCACGAGACCAATTTGGTAGATTTACCCCGATTGAATTGATTTTTACCAGAATTTACGAGCAGAAAATTCGGTACCTTTGTGTTGAAAATCCTGAAAATTCAGTACGATTTCAAATCATTGAACAACACACTTGAGACACATCAACACTTAAAAGTAATATTTACCGCTTGATGAAGATTGCCCAGCGTCGCAAAGCCTCAGTTGAAGTCAGAAAGCTCAGTTTTGTTTACAGCCATAATTCCCATCTTGTTTGGGAATGAAGTAACGTCAACTACAAAGCTAATTTCGTCGCTTGAAAGAACTACATGCTCATTGCTTTTCGAGACGAAAATTATCAAGCATATTTTATTTTCATTTTGAGATCCAAAAGGTCTATCTCAATCGGGATAGAGCGGGGGAAAAATCTTGAAAGTTTGAAACCCTGCGGCTAAACTCAACGGGGACTTTCAGCCGAAGTGAATTGCACACGTCATGTGACGGGTGCACGACCGTGTAGTACGTAAGGATTTTTAATATGGTAGCTCCTCAGGAAGTAGGTAGGCCTTACGCGCGCTGAGTTATAATATTTTGCTATTTGTTCCTGGGCTCAGTTGTTCGAAGGCCGATTAGCGCTAACCCATGGTTAAATTTTAATCTGGGTTTCTTTACTCCTTTATTCAAAAGCTTTTTTGGGTAATGTCTTGTGTTCTTTTTAGAGCATCAAAGAGTCATATCATAAACAAAAATAATTCGACTGAATTTTCTTTTAAAGCTCTCAGTTCTGAACTCAGATTTCACACGAACCCTGGGTTATCTTAACTTAGCTTGAACAGCCCGGCCCAGGAGATTTGAGGAGCTCGAGTGGAGTTTGTTCTTAAGTCATAATGAAATGATGATATGTCGTTGGTAAGGAATCTATTTTCGCGGGAACAACTCTTTTTTTCTTTAAACGTTTCAAGCAAAGGGTTTTTCTATGAATCGTTGAGGGGACTTGAACGTCTCAGTGCAGCACGGCCTTCATATATTTAACCCACCTTTCTATGTCAGGTTTTTTTTTGTTTTTGTTCTATTTGCTTTGTTTTGCTTTACACGAGTGAATTTAGTGTGCGTACCTGTTTTTCGTCATTGTTATTTTTCATGTCAGGTGTGGCAGTGTAACAGGATACTTCTCACTGACCTTTAGTCGAAATGTTGAGATCGAAAACGTTTTGATGATTTTGAAGAAGGCTGCGAAAGACAAGAGGTTCGGTGACTTAAAAGTTGATCCGAATTCCATCCAAGCAATTTCTCCTGAACGGATCCCTACTACATCCACGCCAACGCCTACTCAAGTTGATGGGGCGACGTCGGGAAATCCTGCAGGTGCGCTTAATTTTTTGTCCTTGCTTAGATTTTATACATATCACCAAGAAACAAACATTTTTTCCTGATATCGCTAGTATCTTAATGTACTCCCACATTCCCTTACATTTTATAATTGAATACGGGAGTTGTTCAATAGCTGCCGGTCTTACCTTTGGATTAATATATCGCGAGCCACTAAGACGAAGTTACTATATTGGTTTTACTCGAAACCAGGGTGATCATTGATTGCTTTCCAAACTATTTTGTTTTCCAAAATAGCATTTTCCATGAAAAATGAACCTTTTAGGCATATTTTTCATATCGATTCCGCAAAATATCGTGCTTTTTTCCAGACACTGCGAAATGTTGGCCTCAAAGCAGCACTATTTAGGTAAAAAAACGGAAATTTCCCTTATGTAATAAAAGCAAAATGCTTCAGTTTTCACGGATTAAGAAAATGTGTTGTTTCAAAAGAGTCACATTTTGTATAATTCAACGGAAAGTTAAACGTAGGTGCATTTTACGCGTACAAATATTCAATTTTTAACTACTTTGGTCGTTAAATCTGGTCAAAGTGCACATAATGCTCTGCACGTTTAAGAATGGAACTATAAAGTCTTTGATTTTAACCCTAAATATATTTAAGCGGTTTTTCTTTTCAATTTTATTTGACATGGTGTTACGAACTGTAATGCAGAAATTATGCAAGGTTTGACATCCAATGCTGCAGAAATTCTGCATGGTATGGCTTCTCATGCTGCAGAAATTCTGCAAGGTTTAACGGCCCAAGCGTGCAAAAATTCTGCACGCCTTGACGTCCAGTGCTGCAGAAGTTCTGCACGCCTTGACGTCCAGTGCTGCAGAAGCTCTGTACGCCTTGACGTCCAGTGCTGCAGAAATTCTACACGCCTTGACGTCTAGAGCTGCAGAAATTCTGCACGCTTTGACGTCCAGCGCTGCAGAAATTCTGCTCGCCTCGACGTCCAGTGCTTAGACGACGACGAGGACACTTAAAGCCGAATTGCAAAGATTCGGCACCGATTGTTTTTGAAGAAATGGCAACTCTTGTTCCTGTTCTGTAAAGATAAGCAGCTTTTGATTGTATTATTTCAATGCATCAAACTTCCAATACTCCCGTTCTCCTTATCTTTCGGAGGCATCTGGCGCACGAAGATTTTAACGGACGCAAATCAGATGTGAGTTAGTTCAAAGGCTAATTTTTTTAAAAGCTGACAGACATATGAATCACGAACTCATGTATTCTCATCATTGCCTCTCTTGTGATAAAATTTAGGGAGCAATTAAGTGCGGCGAAAAGAAAAAAGTCGCAAACAACTACATTTCCGTCTGAGGTTTCACACCATCAAATCAATTAAGAATTTGACATTTTCCGGTGAGTACTAATCTAATAAACTTAGAAGCTTCCTTGATTCTTTCCCCTGCTCGTTAACTGTTCGAAATGCCTTGAAATTATGAGACCTTGTCCACACTATAACTTTTTAGTCTGAAATTTGAGTTGTTTTTGTTGTTTTTTTTTTATCAACCGTACAGAGGAAACCGATATATTTTTTTTCTTCGTCCCGGCGGTCTATGAGTACACCGCGGCACATTGGGCATGCACTCAATTATGGTTAATTATAAAACTTAAGAGCCACGACGCCGGCGCTTCTGAAAAGCTCCGAACATGATATCGAGACCAGATTTATGATAATCTTAAAATCTTTATTTCCTCTAAAATTATGATAGCGGAGCTCGAAGCGCGCGAAGCTTAGCCCCATAATCATACAAAATAGAAGTAACCCATCAAGCTAAAAAGAATTTGGACGTACGACCGTACGACCGACCGTACAAGGTGCTACTTTTAGCATGCGTGGCCAACTGTACCACGGGCATCATCTTAGCCATAACGTAATGGAAGGGGCGAGGGAGAAGGTAATGCGCTGGCGCGATTGCGCGCGTAACTTGGATACCCCGTTAGTGTGCGCCAGGAAACACCGGCAGATGGTAATGAAGTGCGCATACTCGAGTGTCGAGCCTCAGTGTAGCGTACCGCGGGCACATGGCTAGGCACTGCACGAGGGCTTCACGTGGGCAATTAGATGTGAAGCCGCGTGAGCAAATAATTTGCAACCCGCATTTTGAGAGCGAAACTGGTGAGGTTGAAGTTGAACAGTAATTCTCAATTTCTAATCAACTCGCAAAGCAACAATACCGGCAGAGCCAAAGATTTGTCGACGGGAGGAAATTGTTATGATTCAAGTTTGTGGATCTAGGGTTTTAGGTGAAAATAGGATGAAAAGAAAGAGACTGAGCGACCAAAAAAAAAACAAGGAGAAAAATACGTAAAGTGAGTCGAGAAAAACGCGTTGAAAGTTAGACAGGACACCAAAATATGCAGAATACTGTGAAAGGAACGCGAAAGAGAACAAGAAAAGATACAAGTAAAAAGCAGAATATCTAGCGAAGAGCAACGCGAGAAGGAAATATAAAGACGCTCCTGAAAACACACTGAGAAGAGTTCATCAACATAGAGAGGCGGACTACAAAGGATCCGAGAAAGACGAGGAGGTAAGTCGTGTCTTATCTGGGTTTTCTTTAACGCTAAGGCCCAGAAAAAAATTCAAGTCTTTTTTAACAATCGTCGTTTGATACTAGCATCAGTTAATGATTAAAATCACGTTTCGGTAAAACATTGACTTTGGCCTTCATCGCCTTAAAGCTCTCGCGAAGGCTCATCGCTCGAATAACATTTAAAAGTTTTTGTATTCTTCAAGGTATTTCTTGTCCTGTCGTTTGGAATATTTTATACAGTCTCGGTGTTAAAGGAAAAGAAGTTATCTTACGGATTTTGTTTTGCCGAGAAAGCTTTCAAATGATAGCGAACGGCGAGCGCAACTTTCTACCTCTTTCTCTCTTCAGTCATCTATCGTAGGATTTACTCAATTCATTTTAAAAAAATCGCGCTTTGTCGTAGAAGTGTTGGTTTAGCCAAAGAACGAAGTGGTAGCCTTTCCCAAAATTGAAATAAAATGAGATTGAGTCAGCGATGTCCATGTTTACATAAAGTCTGACGCGGTATTTGATTTTGAAAATATTGTCATGTGAGAATCCGTCAAACATCTGAGAATTAGATTACGGACCGCAAATGAGTTGTGCGAACAAACTCGCGGGTAAAATGGAATTAGCACTACTGCTGAATTAGTGAACTTCATTTTTTAGTCATGGTACTTTTCAGCACTATGTTTTCGTGCTTTCTACTTGATTCGTACGAACTTCAAGAAATAATTTTAATTGTCTCACAAAACATGGAGCCACTCTCTCTTCTCTCAACATCTCGAGGCGTACTTACTGCTCGGGTTATGATGAACATGCTTGCGATACGATATTTTTTTCCTAATGCTGGAAACTGAAGAATCAATCTCTGAAATTGATAGTCATCACATTTTACGAGAAGCGTCTGAGTTGTGATTGTGTAATTTAAAGAAGGCTTGGCAATTTTAGCTCACAAGCACGCTGATAAGCACATGGTTAGCGTAAATAATTGTTGTTTATAGTTTTTGAATTCGAGAGCCGTATTTGAGACTCCGTTACTGTAACCTTTCTGAATATTTTCTGTTGAATTCATTGAGGTACAATCTCAGAATTTCATAAGTGATTATGAACGATAAATTCATATATGTAGCACAAGTGAAGTACTTTTTAACTTTCCATACGATTTTAGGAAACTATATTTTATTAACTGTCGATAAATTGGCCTGCCATAACGCGTTAATTATTTTATTCTTTTGTTGCCTCACAAGCCCGGCTTATGACTCTGGAGGTACTGAACTTAATATATTTGATACACAAGGCACCCTAGATAATTAGATGTAGATAATTGCTTAAAAAATATCTATTATAGCTTTCTTCAGAAGCAAAGACACGTGGGTAATACGCTTCTGCTTTATTTTTGTTGTAAGGAGTTTCTTTTTATGTAATATATATCCATCCTTTAATTTCCTCCTTAACCTGCCTGCATATAATTAAATTTTATGTTTTAATTCAAGTATGAGAAGATAAAACAGAAGTGTTGCAGAGTTCTCTTTACAGACTGAATTCAGGTGAGAACATCAGTAAACTGGTTGATGTCATATGCTCCTCATGAATCTTTAATTTTATTGCCCTGGTCTTTTCACAAAGCCTCTTTTATATCTCTGTGTGCCAGCCAATGATTAAAATCTCAGTGAATAGATATAATAATTTTTTTTGTAAACAATTTTATTTACAAGACGATCACTTACACTACTTACAGTATTAATTACACTTACATTGTACTTGCTACTTACACTACTGATACTTATACTTACACTAATTATGCATACACTACATTACGATACATGTATTACAATACTATTAACATTAATTTAATTTACGGTTGGCGTGTTTACAAAGTTCTTTTCAATTAAAAGACAATCACAAGTAAACATACAGGTCTCAAAAATGCTACATTTCTTTGGATATTCACTTTTGATATAGCTTAAACAAATATTTATGAAATTAAGCATAAGTCTAACCTAAAACAACAGCAGCATGAAAAATTAAAGTAAAAAAGCCCACGTGCGATAAAAATTCGGAAGTTCTTTTTTTGCGGTCGCGATCTCTTTTAGGATTTCAAGTTTTCCCGTGATGAACAGTAGGAAGTTTTGAAAATCTAAGATGTTTCCGCAAAGGCTTGAGCAGAAAATGTGATATTTGGCTAACAATAGGCAATAATTTAGGACTTGCCAATGCTTTGTCCTATAATGCCAGCCATAGAGTATATATAGTTTTCTTGCATTTACTATTTTAAAATTCATAAATGGCATTCTCTTTTCATCCATGTAAAGAGATATTACACATTTGGATAAATATATTTAAAACATTAGCACTTTCAAAACTAGTCTTTATCTGCAGCGTCATGAACACCCCTAAAGACTTCAGTAAAGAAGTAAACAAGATCACGTTCGACTTTATTTGGAATGACAAACCCGACAAAGCGCTTAAGTTAAGCTGGGTGAAACGGTTATGCTCTAACTCGGATGCTCCATGGCAGTACATACCAAAATCGCTCCTAACCGATGTTGGCGGTACAGAACTGTTTAAATGTAAATAGGATTATAATCTCCTTGACCTAGACAACCATCTTCCTGCTTTCTACAAACAAATCATTTTTTACTGGCAGAACATCGCAACGGCCACACCTAAAAATAAAAGTGAGGTTCTCCCACAGCCAATCTGGAATAACCGATTTTTAACTGTAAATAAGAAAATGGTATTCTTTCCTCGTTGGTATTAAGCAGGAATAAAACAAATCTCGGACCTTTTTTACTCCTGTGAGGGCCATTTCCTTCCATTTAATTCTTTTTGCACTAAATTCAATGTAAAATGTAACTTTTTACAATATTATAGAATTCTTTCTTCTATTCTCCAAAATTGGAAGAAGCTATTGCAAGAAGGTTCCAAAGACCCAGTTACGCCTCCCACCTCAATGTGTTCACTGTTATGCAAGACAATATACAGTTCGCTGCTTAACCTTGGAGATCTACCTTCACCAACTTCTGAGAAAAAGCTTTTAGCGTCTGGCGTCGAGAAAAGTGACTTGACTAAAATCTACCTCCTACCATTCAAAGCCACGAGAGAAATTAAGTTGGCAGTGTTCCAATACAAAATCATTCACCGAATTGTACCAACGAATAGCTTGTTACACAAAATGAAAAAAGTTGCCTCGCCCTCCTGTCCCTTTTGTCCTTCTGAGTGTCAGACCCTGTGGCATTTGTTTATAAACTGCATACACGCAAGTTCTTTTTGGAATAGATTCCAGGAGTGGTACTCAATCTCTAGTAATACGAAACTGCTGCTGTCAGAACTAGAGGTTATGTTCGGAATTATTTGCTGTCACACCTATTGTTTAGTCTTCAACCATCTCATTATTTTGGGTAAATATTTCTTATATGTTAACGCTTTAGATACCATAACGTACGAATTCGATGATTTTGTCTCACTTGTGCGCGAAAAAATTAATCTAGAAAAATATATTGCAGTCACTCGTAATAAGGAGAAGGAATTTAGGAACAAATATAAATTTTTTCTGTCTTTATAAAATTTTATTGTGTCCTTTTTCTTCTCAACTTTTGTATTTTGATTTGTTTCTTTTTGCTACCTATCTATTTAATAATCTATTCAATTCTAGAAAATTAATTACCAATGTAGTGTAATTAACAAACTCCCATGAGTGACCAAGGCAGAATTTCTCCTAACAATATCAATACAATATCAATCAGATAAGTGATGAGAATAAAGAAAATTTGGGGATAATTAGTTGATCTAATACTAAATTCTTAGAACGAGCATTATAAGAATTGTATAGTTGACAGTAAGGAGAATTACAAATTTGAACTGGGAGTTAAAGGGTTAAATTTTATTTGATCAAAAACATGAATGGCAATAGAGAAAATTAGCTAGCACAATTCAAGTTTCCCCTCTTAAGTATTCTGTGATGTTTTTTCTATCACATGGTAAAGTTTACAGTTTCCCTCATTTCACTGTCTTCTGTTCACTTGTTTGTTTGCTTTCCTAACAATCTTAGCTATTGTTGCCAACAAATGCGAGGAGCATATACATGAAAATGTGTACAGTTAATAACACTTTAATCCCTGAGAGTGACTAGCATCTAATTTCTCCATTCAATATCAGCCGAGTCACTCATTAAGGTCATGAGAATAAAGGAAATGATAATCAACTGTAGAACCTCTTGATTGTTAAACAAATTCTCCTTGCCAGCACATAAGGAAATATATAGAGAACAGTATGGAGAATATGCATTCTGATATTGGAGTGTAAAGGGTTAAAGACATCATGTAATCAGTTATATATATGTAGAGTATTGCTTGAATATATGATTGCGGTAAATACAAATACTAAGTAAACATCATTCTATGCTCTTCTACTCTTCCACCCTGGAGGTTGCCTTGTGTAAAAAAAAAAAACCTTTTTAAAGACACCTCTATGATGGTGGGTACACACAACTGACATGTATGAGGGAAGCATGTCAAGCATTAAGGCATGATTGTCAACTTGCCTTTTATTACTCACAAACAGCTTATTTCTATCAGCTTTAAAAACTCCTGTATCCCCACTTTCAAACAAAAGCATTTCCCATGAAAATTTAAGCATTAAAGACATAAGCTACCAGCAACAGGTTTTTCCATTGCAAGTGTTTCATAACATCAGACTCTCATCACATTTTTTTGTTACTTTTGAAAGCATAAGAATATTTTAATCATCACAATATGATGAAATCCCTCATTTTAACCCTTTAACTCCCATGAGAGACCACGTCAGAATTTCTCCTTACAATATCAAAACAATGTCAGGCAGACAAGTTATGAGAATAAAGAAAAATATTAGTTGGGGGATTATAAGATGATCCAATACTAAATCCTCCAAACTAACACCACAAGAACTGTATAGGAGATAGTAAGGAGAATTACTCGTGAGATCTTGGGAGAAAAAAATCATATCTAAAATATGGCATAACTATTCACTGAGGTTTTAATCATTAGCTGTCACACAGAGATATAAAATAGGGTTTGTGAAAAATAAACAGGGCAATAAAATTAAAGATTCAGGAGAAGCATATGATTTCAACCTGTTTGCTGATGTTCTCACCTGAATTCAATCTGGAATGAGAACTCTGCAAGACTTCCGTTTTATCTTGAATTCAGACATAAAATTCAATTATTTGCAGGCAGGTTAAGGAGGAGACCTTTTTCCGCTCCTTTGTGTCCTTATTCAAATACTGCGATTTGTGTAACAATAGCACTTCACACCAGTTAGTTGAAAAAGCAGCTACCTTGTACAGTTTAGTTGATTACAAACTAGAGTACGCTAGAGGTCATGTCGCTTGTTGGCCTGACCTGGAATAAAAGTACTGTGGAACCAAAAATTGTCTTATCCTTGACGTCCGTATAAGCTCGCTCGAAGTAGGTCTCCGTGTGCCAGGAAATCGTGACGAGTTTCCGTTCTCGCTGCCGAGTGGTCTCTACCGAGTTATTTTCCCCCAGTTGTTATTGTGCCATCCGCGAAGATTCAGTTTCCCAGTTTGGGTGCGGAAAACCTTATCGTCACATAATGTGTTGACAAAATTTCCCTAAATTATGGTGCCGATACGAATCTATCATTCATAATCGCTTATGAAATTCCGAGACTGAACCTCAACGAATTTAACAGAAAATATCCAGGAAGGTTACAGAAACAGACTCTCAAAAACTGCTCTTGAATTCGAAAACTGTAAACAGCAATTATTTACGCGAACCATGTGCTTACCAGCGCGCTTGTGAGGTCAAATTGCCAGAACCCCGTTTAATTGCTCGATCACAGCTCGGACGTTCCTTGCAAAATGTGATGACTACCAATTTCAGAGATCGATTCTTCAGTTTCCAGGATAGGGAAAAAAAGTGGCTCCATGTTTTGTGAGACAAACTATTTCCTGGCGTTCGAGCGAATCGAGTATAAAGCATGAAAACATAAATTCACTCATCCCGCTGTAGAGTCAACTCCATTTTTTCCGTGAGTTTGTTTGCACCACACATTTGCAGTCTGTACTTTGATTCTCAGATGTTTGACGGATTCTCACATGACAATATCGTCAAAATCAAATTACCGCGTCAGACTTAATGTAAACATGAACACCACTGACTCAATCTCAATTTATTTAAACTTTGGGAAAGGACATTACTTAGTTCTTAGGGTAAAACAACACATCTTCGGCAAAGCGCGAATTTTTCAAATGAATAGAATAAATCCTGCGATAATTCCGTCTCGCGTTGCTTTTCGTTAGATACTTGCCTTTTTCTTATGCCCTTTATTGTTCTCTTTCGTGTTCCTCTCGCCGTATTCTGCCTATTTTGGCGTCCTTTCTAACTTTCTTGCGCGATTTTCTGGACTCGCTTCAATCGCGCCATTACCTTCTCCCTCGCCGTTCCATTACGTAATGGCTAAGATAGGGCCCGTGGTATAGTTGGCCGCGCATGCTAAAAGTAGCAGCTTGTACGGTCGGTCGTACGGTCGTACAACCAGATTTTTTGTCGTACAAACCAAATTTTGAAGACATGGCAGGCTTGAACTACAGGCTTATAAGAAATCTGCATGTGTGTGTGTGTTTTCAACATAGAAAACCGGTAAAAAGATTGCTTAGCTTTTTTCATTAGTACACATTTCTTTTTCTAACAATCTTGTTTATTTGGCCTACGCCGAGTTCTAATTTTTCAAACAAATTTTACATTCTTTTGAATATTCTTAGATCTCCTAATATCAGTTAATATTCATGTAATTAAAATAATTACATCAAATCTTGCAGATGTTTGGTACATTTTTCCACTGGACCTACTGACATTTCATCATGCGTAGGGATTGGTATTGGCTATAAATGTAAATATTTGTGCAGAGCCTATGCATCAAATATTTGTAATAAAATATTGTATTCTTCTTAAAACTAGCTTATCAGAATAAGAATGAGTTACCAAGCACAAATATGACTTTCACGATGATAGTTTCCAGGTTTGAAAAAAGTCACTGCCCACTAAAATCCTCAGTTCCTATACCTGAACTGCTCAACCTCATCAAAACATTGGCAACATGAGCGATTTGCAAATTAACAATACAGACAAGAGAGCCTATTCCCACATACACCCCCCTCAGTTCTGTTCGCTTACTATGGACATAACATTTCAAACATGGTGTATGTTTCCCTGACTACTTATTTTGTAAAGGTGATCACAAATTATTGGAAAATGGTTGGGTTGAAATATAATACAACGACTTGCCGGTAGATAGTGCAATAAAAACTTTCTACATATCAATGAAATTTATTGTTGTGTTTCATGTTCAACATGTTGCAATGACTCTACCTTCCAGTAAATTCAATTATTTGCAAACATGAGAAAATACCATCAAAAACTTTTCAATCCATTTAAAAAGGCCAATAACATCAACTCAACTTTAAAACTTAAGAGAAAACTTGATTGATGTTTGGAATTGATTGCATTGATGTAAAAATGAAATCCAGGTATTATCTCAAGTTTTCCACAAATGTCTTCATGATCGAATCCTAAGTATCTCTTCGTCATTAAGTTTAATCATGACATTTTAGCTCTAGCTTGTCTTCTTTTAAAGCAAACTTTTGCAGCGCAAGAAACATGTTAGACAAATTTCGTAGTTCACTAGCTAGAGTTGCTAAGATCATGGGCAGTTGGCTTAAAGAAACCTACATTATAAGTAGTTACAGCAGAGGTTACCGAATCAAATAACAGAAAGAATCCCAAAAAGACGCCGTGTATTTCCAGCCAGAGGACAATCTTTAAAGAATAATTGCCAAAAGAGGAAATGTTTAAAGAAATTACAGCTTCAAACACGAGTTGAAAATGACTTCTCTTTTTAATTTTTACGCGAAACAGAGGAGGTTGAAACGTTCGGGAAAAAATGGTGGGGCAAGCAGTCATACTTGGCGACTTCAAGAGAAGATATAAGAGAAGCCCATACGATTCTGGCGTCTTGGTTTACTAATTCACTGTTATCACGTGTACACTCTTCAATCGACTACTGATGTCTAAACTCGAAGTAGTTTACCGTCGTTTCTTTCAATTTTGGCTCATTTTCCCAAACCAAAATTATCAGTCACGCTCAAAAGAATATAATTTCAATTGATGCTGACATCGCACACTTCCTCTGAAGAAGAAAAGATTCTCTATCTTCGAAAATTTGCTCAAAATATCAGGAACAACAACGAAGATCCTCAGCTGCTTGAAGATACTGCTGACTAGCATGCGTTTTATCGCAAGTTGTGAGAACGTCGTCCCTAGGTTCCAGACCTCGCCAATTCTTCCCTTTCCTCCCACCCCCTGGACTGGTGTCTTAATCCTCTTGAGAAACTCTTTATTACAGTTTTTATTTTAATGAGGGGCTAGAAAATAAACTAACAAGAGCTCCGCTTTTAGGCTTGGCTAAATCTTTATATTACATCAACAATCAGATGACCATGGCGGCTATAGTAACCTATCGTCGTGCATATTTTGATTACGATCAGCAAAATCTTTGCTGTTGTTGATCATTTGTTGTATATTGATTGACTGGTAGAATTGTTTTCACCTGAAAATCGTATTCATATTAACATTAAGATCCTGGAAATATGACTCAGTAAAAGCATTTTATACGTAAATCTTCCACCAACAGAAGACCAGTTATAAACAGACTGATTTATTTAAATGTGAAAAGTTCTACGCTTGTTACCTTATTTTGCAGAATATGAAAATATCAGAGTCGGTCTTTGTGAATAACTATAAATGAATCAGTCTATGAATTTTTATTTGACAGAGATGAACATTTGTGAATGTTCTTGTAAACACGTTTTACTTGGATCCATCATCGGAGTCCTTCTTTTATTCAATATCATTCTCGTTATCTATGTGGTTTGGATTCACAAAAAAGGTAAGTAATTCTTGGTTTTCCTTGAGGTGCCATCTAATTCTCTTATTATTCTTAATTCACTTTTTTCCCATAACTTTGCCCTCATCTTTTATCTATATTTTTCTCTGATAGAATCTGCGGCAAAGCGAAGGTGAGTCTTATTACCATGCGGATTGATTTGTTAAGAGATTCCATCCAGTAAGACGATCGATTGCTCTCTTAAAGAGCAAAGCATTTGTTATAGCTGACAGTGATAACTAAAATGCTGAAAGCAGATATTCGGAATTCATTTTAGGTTCTTGCTAATGCTTTATCACACACACGAGATGAAAGACACAGCAAATAAGATTCATTATCAGTATCAACAGCTGGATGGGCAATTGATAAAATTACCTCAGAGTTTTACACATTTAATTTCTTAGTATGTAATGTTGGTAGAATCTTCAATTTGTCGTTTTAATTATGTATCTGTAGTTTTAATTAAGACTGTAATTTTCTTTATCTTCTTAGACTTGACTTAGACACGACCACATCAACCACGCTGAAATTGTTTTCGTGCGCAAATGAATGCTTTTGATATTATTACAGTGATCATTATTCACATCACAGTGTAGTTTTAAGAAGGAAAAATTGTATCAATAGCATCTGAAGGACTGACTGCAAATTTTCATTTCTGACAACACAGGTACAAAACAGTTATAAAGATAAAAAATACTTAATCCTCACATTTTGTTTTATTTTAGACCATATGAAGACAGCAGAGAAGTATATGATGTAAGAAAAGTTCTGATTATGTTTTTATTTTTCTCATTTTTATTGAATCTTGTGAGAAACAAGGTGACTTAACGTTAAAACCGTTAGTGAAAATTTAGGCGAAGTTTAGACTTAAAAGATAGGAAATTTTGAAGTTTAGAAGGAAGTAGGGAATTAAAGATAAATTTTCCTTTCTCTTCCTTTATCTCAGAACGAAGTGCCGATGAAAGATCAGGACCGCTCAGATGCAAGACAATTTCTCCAGCCTCGCGCTGAATACATGGATCTCAAAGAAATAAGAACCGAACGCTCAACCAAAGAACAAAGGGCTCATCGAGTGGCAGATTATACGCCTCTCCATCCATCAACACGCTCTTGGGAGGTTCCAAGGGATCACGTGTCTGTAGAAAAAATCATTGGTAAAGGTGCTTTTGGTCAGGTTGCTAAGGGAACAGCTGAGCAACTTCATGGGAGGCCTGGGACAATTACAGTGGCTATCAAAATGCTCAAAGGTATGATCTTTCATATCGTAAAAATAGTTTATATTCAGCTGAAATTTTCATGTTTTCGTTATTGGTTCTAACTCTCCATGCTTTTAAGATGCTTCCTACTGTTTTTTTTATTTCACTGTGAGAGTGATAATACTTACAGCATCATACACGCTTGACACGCGTGCAAATCCCATGCACTGCACGTGTGCAGTCCGCTCCTCTTTAAATGGTTTCTTCTAATGCTAAATTTAAATGATCGAATTTTGAATGGGGTTTTGGAAGTCAAAAGAGAAAAATTGTGAAGCATCGTTCCTACATTAAATGGTAACACAATCATAACTGCTTCAATGAACAAGGAAGGTTGATTTGTTCCTAGAAATCTTTGCTTAGCATGTGACAAAATTTGTCATTCAGGGGCACCATTTTACCTGTGTTCGCAAACAACAAACTTAATGATCACAGAATGTCTCCCGCAACGAAGATCGGTTTCTCTATTTCCGTTCCTTTGTGCATTTCGATTTCAATGTTTGGCTCTTCTTGAAATGAGAATGAAAGTCAATTTTTAAGTTATCTAATGTGCTGCGGTAAAATTGTGTCACAACTCAACTCAAGAGTAAGATTAAATGGAGGGGGGACTGTTGAAGCGAATGATGTTTGAACGCTCGACATAGCATATTTTTGGAATACAAATCCCCACAGCTATAGCATCTTCATTAAAGAGTACACCCAAATGCAGATAATGGCAAGCGAGTTAAGATACACGCATTTGGGTGTAAACCACTACACTCGTGTATTTTTCCTACTGCACGCCCTTACTTTACGAAATTAAGATAATTAATATTTATTACTCGCGCTTGACGCACGCGTGAGGTGCTGCAGCACACGCAAAAAGTACTGTTGACCTTATCTCAGCTTCCTCTATCAAGTGACATCTTACCGAAAAGATCCCATACTAATGAATGGCGCTGGCGAAATTAAATCCTTTCATATTCTAAGTTGGCTTTATCTCTAGGTAACGCTGCAGAATCTGACAAAAGAGATTTGATGGCGGAACTTGACACAATGAAGCAGCTAAAACCACACCCTCATGTCATCAAACTTTTGGGATGTGTTACGGAATCTGGTGAGCTGATTCATGGCCCATTTTATATGCAGTTCATCAAAATTGATTTCCTATTCTTCACTTTCCTTATTTGTATCCCAACCGTTCTTCAGTGATAGAAATGTATTCTGATTCTTCATAGTGATTTTACGTCTTCCTCCCTCATAACTTTTTTCCCTGACAATTTACCGTAACGTGGTTAAATGATAAGTTGTCTTTCGATGTATGTCATGTTTTACAATGCAATAGCACCTCGAGAAATTTGACTGACTTGACGTGGACTCAATTGCAACATCACTTGCAGTAAATTTTGTCGAAAATAGCACAGGCGGCGGCAAATAGGTTTTCTCCCCACTTAAGTGGCAGTTCTTTGTTAAGCGGTCGCGTGAACCACCAAGCTCTAATAGAATTTAGCGCTGACTATATAACGTTTCAGTCCCAATTGCAGGCATTTTATATATACATTTTACATATAAAGCGAGATGCCATGCCTTGGTTGATATATGTATATGAGAAAAAAATTATACACTTCGAAAGGCACAATTATAATATACTTTGGTAGTAAACATTAAACATATATAGAGAGTAATCATTTCGCAGGTTAGGGCGATACATACATAAAGGCCCTTACCGGCCTGTTTCGTGATAACTCACTCATCAAGGGATTTTGTTGTCACGAATATTCGTAAACCATCGTTTATATGCTTTACAAATTTGCATACTAGGCGAGGCGGTAAATTTAAATGGTTTGTTCACTTGTTACGCAGTAACGCTTTGTTTCTGTGGCGGCATGAGGACACGAGTTCATAGCGTTTATTGAGTGATGATAATTCAGGTCGGCAGACGATGAGTAATTTTTCTTTGAGGCAGAGGTTGCATCTTTTGCTCGCGCTGTTGTAAGGTGATATTGATGAAGGGATGCGCCTTGAAATAAAGCACACGCCGCTAGCAAAAGGCCTAACATTAGATTATCACGGGAGCGTTGTTTTGTATAATATTATTTTGGTGACTGGTGAAAACTACGCAAAGCCTTTGTATAAAAAAATTTGTGCTAAAATCTTGTTTATACCTTGTTGCTGTTCTTTTGGCGAAGCTTGAAAAGATCACGCTTTGTTTTGTTTTTTTCCCTTCTTCTTGAGTCCCATTAATTTCAAACGCTAATTTCCCGATACAGTTACGTGTTTACTTTTAACTATGAAACAGTTTTAATCCAATGAAATGTCATATTCCAGCAAACATTCTCAATTTAGCGACATAATCCTACCAAAAATTCACATGCAACGTAGGATATTACTGTTAGACGATTTCTAAGCAATTCTCCCGTGCTTCCACGTTTTGTGCCAATCAAATTCGCTTCTAGCTACCCTGGACCTCACCCCATCACGTGTCAATTCCTTGTAAAGAACCTGCATTTTATCATTTATTCCGCACGCACGCGGCAAAGTCTAGATAGACAACAGCAAAACAAAGGAGCCCACGTTGTTATGCCCACTAGAAAGCCTTTAAAATATAATATTTTCTTCTTTGTTCAAATATTATCACTTGTTCAAAGAACAGAGACGGAAAAAAATTTTTGGTTAGAAGTTATTGGAGATAAAATAGAGTTTCTTTAGTCGGTTTGCTTTACACAGCGAAATAACGTGGAATAATATTTTTGAGGTAGCTAGCTGTAACTGAATAATTTCGATCTTGTCTCTGACGAAGAAAGTGAAGAAATGGCAGTAACCACGGCAGGCCGTTATCATTAGTGCCACGGGACGTGAGTTTCCCAGCCCGCGGAAATTTTTGAGACAATCAGCACTAATTGTCAGTGCTAGACATTTGTCTCGCCACTAGGCAATCTCGCCACTACCAAGTCGCCACCAGTAAACTCGCCATCAAGGTTGTTAGCTAATTTGATATAAATTCAAAGCATTAGGTGACTCTTCAGTTTGATCTTGAGTCTCCTGGGCATCGCCGTAAGAATGTTACGGGCAATACTGCAGAGCCGTGCTAAAGGCTCAACAGTTTTTTGAAGATGGCGGAAGGTGAGTCAAATGCGTGTAACGATCGGAAAGGCGCCAATTTGATATGATCAAAGATGACAACAAGATATTAAACGAACTATCAGAAGATGAAGTCTAGCCTGTAAATATATGGAATGTACATCAAAGAAAAAGTGACATTAAATTCTCAATCGAATGCGAACAAAGAGCAAGATCGAGAAGAAATGATATCGATCGCATGCATTTTTTGTCGACAACATGAGTGTTTTGAGGTTCGAATCCTTTTTACTTGGAATACTTTTTACCCTTAAAAACAACGAGCAACAAGTTAGAGCTCCAGCAAACGTATATTTATTTAATCAAACATTTAATAGCTTTACTTAAAACAATTACAGCAATGGCTACCTCTGGTGGCGAGATCGATTACACTTTGGTGGGGGCTTGATGGTGGCGAGGAGACTGGGTATCTTGCAGACCTCTCTCGGGCTCGTGTGACTCAAGGCCTCATACTTTCCCGTGGTCGAGGAAACTCACGTGACAAAATGCTAATAATGAGGGCCTGCTCACTGACTAGCGTTATCTCCTTTGCAGTCGATGTTTGGTCTCGTCACGCAACAGGGGGAGAGAATGCGTTGCGTGACGAGATCAAACAATTGAAAACCGCGATTGCGAAAAAAAAAAAAAAAAAGCCTTTATACAGGCCCAAATGGCCTATGGGGAGGGCGCCTAACTCCGGTTTTACTTAGCATGAAGCGGCTAGAAGGATTCCTACTCCCCCCTGGATGGGATGCTTATCCATCGCAGGGTTACCCCCAGCATATTTTCTGGTACCCATTTGTACAACTGGGTGAAGAGAAGCACTGTGCGAGTAAAGTGTCTTGCCCAAGAACACAACATAAGGACCCCGGCCAGGGCTCGAACCCGGACCACTCGATCCGGAGTCGAGCGCACTAACCATGAGGCCGCCGCACCTCCACATAACGGCTGTGAAGGAGAGTACAATTTTCGCATACAATTATTTAAGTAACAGTGACAATAGACCACGAAATACCTGTTTCTAATTTGATTTCAGATAAGTCTGAGGTTCTTTTCCCTCTCCATCGAAGATATTTTTGTTGAAATCTTTTGAAAATGAATTTATTTTTCTTTTACAAAAAATGCAAACATCAGTTACTTAGTGACCCATTCCAACCCACCCATCCCAAAAGGTAACTCTTGCGTGCGTAGCATGCCTAATAAAATGTCTCTCATAGCTTTGTTTAGCAGCTGCTTTATCACACTAACATAGTTACCAAGCTGGTCAGACTGACCTAGCATAGTGTAACCGGGGATAAGTTAGGTACCACAGTTTTACTACGTAATGAAACTCCTTAACGTAAAAAAATCCTTCATCATTTCTTACCTATTTTCTTAGAGCCAATGCTGGTGTTGATAGAATATTTTCCTTTTGGAGACCTGCTGGGCTACCTAAGAAAGAGCCGTGGACTTAATGACACTTATTATAAAGACCCGGATATCAAACCACAAACAAACTTGAGATCACAACAGCTGATGAAGTTCGCATGGCAAATCGCTGATGGCATGAGTTACTTGTCGTCGAAATCCGTAAGTTAAAGAAGTTTGGAACTATTTGGCACATTAAATCAGATAGAAATGGTTCTAAATGTTTTTCTTTTTAGAAATAATTCTGCTACCTCAAACATTTACATAACAGGTAATTGAGGAATTTCGTACCTGTCGAGTATTCGAGTGTCGAATAGTAGAAAGATGCCTCTACATCTTCTTACCATTGGACGGGACACTTGACTGAAGGGCGCACAGATTTGAATAGTGATAATGAGCACAATTTTTACAATGGCAATGATAATAGTAATGATGACAATGACAATAATAATGATATTTACAATAATGATAAATATTGTTACGGGAAAATTTACTGATTTTCCCGTGTGTGTTATTCGGAACATATTTATTCGTAAACTTTCACATTTAACCATTTCAAGTCCTTTCATTTCAATAAATCAAAAAATGCATAAAAACCACAGTAGCTTTTGAATAGATTTTTGTTGTTACTCGCTTTCATCATATGTACCTGCTTGTCGGCACTTTTGTTATTTATTACATGGTTTTTTTTCAGGTAAATATAAGTGTTAATGGTCTTTCTGAAACATTGGTTTTCATGGTAGATAGCAGCTGAGTTTATACTCGTAAATCTAATTTCTTTTCATGCAATGGTTTCCAAACCAATCTTGCGTAAATAAGCAGGAACTTTAATTGCTTTTCCGTTTTCTATTTCCTAAGCTGCGCTGCTGCAATTAAGATAGGTATTGTTTTCTATATCAGAGCTGTAAATTCGCACCTAGGTTTCCTACTTTAATGGCCTAGGGTTTATTGCATCCGTCTTTTTTATTTTGAGATTCTTTCCGTCGTAGAAACAGATGGAATATTTAAGTAGTTTTTGTTTAACTTCAAAGAGACTTTTTCCGCTCCTTTGTGTCCTTATTCAAATATTGCGATTTTTGTAACAATAGCACTTCACACCAGTTGCTTCTTAAGCAAGTACCTTGTACAGCTTTGATGATTACAAACTAGAGTATGCTAGAGGTCATGTCGCTTGTTGGCCTGACCTAGAATAAAAGTACTGTGGAACCAAAGATTGTCTTATCCTTGACGTCCGTATAAGCTCGCTCGAAGCAGATCTCCGTGTATCAGGAAATCGTGACGAGTTTCCGTTCTCGCTGCCAAGTCGTCTCTACAGAGTTATTTCCCACAGTTGTTATTGTTCCGTCGCGAAGATTCAGTCCTCCAGTTTGGGCGAGAAAACCTATCGTCACAATATCATTATCCTTCTGAGCTGGGGCAAATAATCAGAAAAAGTTATTTTGTTTGCTTGTTACTGAAGGAATTTTGGATTTCATCGATTTCATTGTGGTTACCGCCTCGTATTGGAGGTGAAGCCACATGTCGTCGGAATTAATGAGTTAGTGATGGTAACTAACAATAGAATGCCGAATTTCACCCGATTTCGACCCGATGTTTCTCGGTGTTACTTATTTTTTGCTTCGGAGTATCAGAGTAGTTTGATATTCGCACTGACTTCACAGTTGAGTTATTTACTTTTGGGATTCCTAGCCTATTGCCTCTAAGGCATTATGTTATCGTCCTTGTAAGTCCGTAAGTAAATAAGAAATTGCGAGACTTTTCGGAAGCTGTTTAAGAAATCTCACGCAACCACTTTAGAATTTACCTGAATTAATTGAATCAATTTTCACCCTTTAACACCTGCTTTTTACAATTAATACCTAGTAACGTTGCATCAAATGTCACCTTATGAGTCAACAGATATGAAACACGAGCCATAGGAACAGTCAAAGTTCACTGCAAACGTTGGCGGCTGCCGCATGTGAAAGAATGTTCTCAATAATAAGAATACCGAACTTAAAATTTATAATTTGCCTCTGACTATCTTCGTTGTTTAACATTCTTTCTCCATATCATCTACCACAACCGCGTTTTAATCAGCGAATTATGCCTAGTAGATTCGAAATTAAAATTTGTTAGGATTTCCCTTGACACTACGAAAGACTTCAAATAAATTCACAATCTCTCCGAAGCGTAATTTTAATCACGAGCAAGATAGAACTTGTCCTTGCAAAAAAATGGGGGAAAAGGTGTGATCTACCCGTCATGGAACTTTGAGGGAAAATGCTCCTCTTTGTAGAAAGAACATTATATTGCCTGAAACAGCCACATATGCCCGAGAGAGTCGCTAAATTTGGGAAGCGAGCAATGAGCGAAGTTTAACAGGCTGATCCTATTCAGCGGAACAATGGAACGGTAGATTGTTCCAACGGTGGTATGACGTAATATTCTTAAACACGAAATGACGGAATGCCTTGTTGGATGAAACAAAAGTCTCACAAAAATAGAATTGGGATGTAATAAGAAAACTATTTTTAAAGAACAGGCAAAATCAAAAGAGGCATTGTCTGATAATTATTGGAGCTCAGAGGATGGAGGAATCGTGAGGCTTTTGAGCTAGTTCCTCTTAATTGTCATTACCATTGTTATCATTATTATCATTACAGTAAATGGTTGGAACCCGGGGGTAACATGTAATAGTGTAGTTTGATCGTAAGGGTGAGTGTAGTCCTGAGAAGGACTGTTGTCGGTAGTGGTGACTAGTCGACACCAGTCACCACTACCGACAACAGTCCTTCTCAGGACTACACTCACCCGGACGATCAAACTACATTATTACATTATTATTATTGTTAATAGGACTATTTGTTACCGTTTCATTATATGTCTATTAGTCACTATATCCTTGAATCATCTTTAATTTCTCATGTGGAACAGGGTAGTCATATTATATATATATATGTACATCATATTATACAACCTCTGTTAGTGTCCAATGCCCTAAAAATTGTGCTATATCAGTGATTACGTGTAATCTCAGACCGGCGGCCTATTTTTTTCTCCTTCCTGTTAGATCATCCACCGAGACCTCGCAGCTCGTAACGTGCTGGTCGGAGAAAATGAAACATGTAAAGTAACAGATTTCGGAATGGCTAGAAATGTGCAAGAGGAAAATATCTATGAGAGAAAGACAAAGGTAATTAGAAAGAAATAGGCTTTGCTTCATTCCATGACATGTACTTGTCATGAGTGTGCTCTGTTCTGTTGTAAACCACGTAGGAGGCGGCTAGATCACGAAAGAAGCCAAGTGTAGGGAGAAACATGAGACGTAGTCGAGTGTTTCTCCCCACGTCTTGAGTGCTTCAGCTGCTTTCTAAGTGCTTTACAACAGAACAGAGCACAGTGAAGGCTTCTCTATTTGTTTCATAATAAATAATCCTTTAAATTCCCCACGCGTTACTTTTAGTTTTCGAAACAAGCTTTATTTCCAAAGCGAGAAACAGTGTCGTCAGCATACTCTATACCCTCATAAGGCACGCTACAATAAGCTTATCAGAATCTTTGTTGGAATGGTTCAAATAGTCTGATTGGTTGAACAAGACTAAAGCTGTCAAAAATGACAAACCATCAAAGTTCACAATCTGCAATAGTTTACAAAGTAAAAAGTGAAATATTCAGCGAAATCCGACCGAATTGTGGCTCATAAAAGGACGTAAGTTTTTACTTAGACAATTAGAGAACAAACTGCTCGAGGCGTGTGTTTTATGAATGAACGACAGCCTAATTCACTGGAACATGAAGATTGCTCGAGCTCGGAAGGACGGCATCGTAAAACTCGGCTGCTGTGACCGACGTGGCCTTCCAGTCAATGCATCGGAAAGAGTATTAGAGCAAGCCCTTAGTTGTTCACTCGAAGGGCGGCCGATGTAATATCTGAGGCTTCCTTCACTGCGATGAGCGATGACTGGGGATCGCCATGATAATCTAGCCGCGATGAACCTCAGCAGGATCGCAGTCGCTCTGACGCTGTCATTATTAGTATGAATTTTAATAGTTATGCCAGTCTTGCTATATTTTTCATCATTCCTGTTTTGTTCTGTTTTGTTTTTGACTCGAAACTATATATACTGTAGGAGTATCAGTTAGCTGTGTTTGATTTTTATTACCATACGTAAGTTCGCAAATCTAACTGAGCGTTACAAGGTTCAAAACTCAGACTGTCCATTTAGTTTTCTCTTTGAGGACTTTCGTTTCTGCTCACGTTATGATAACGTAAATTACGTCGCTAGGCATGTTTACAAACCTTCGTTCGGCTCTTCTGTTGCCATAGTACAATCCGGCAGATGACGTGACAGCTTTAGTTCAGCTTTATACACTGTACTCTGATAGAGAACGCTCTTTCAACCAATGACTACGCGCGTCATATCTGGACTTTATAAAAATATAAACGTCTTGAGATTGTGTATACACTTACTCAAAAGTTCCTTCACTAAATAATGATACGTTTGATAAGGGAGTGCATAGCACGTTATCGGGATCAAAGTTACCTCGCAAACTTTATTTCAGTTTTAATTTCGAAACCTATCATTTAATTTACAACCGTTTTCAAAAAACAGTCTTTCTCTATGCAGTTAAGCCATAATTGGCTTAAGTAAGCACGGCCGTGCATCCATAACATGACATGTACAGTTTCACCTCTACAGCGAGTTCCCGTCAAGTTTAGCGGCGACGTTTCATACCTTTTAAGAATGTTACTCCTTTCCATTCCGATTAAGATAGATCTTTTGGCGCTCAAAATTAATGGCAGTTATGCTAAGCAATACCCGTTTTGGAAAACTATGACCATGTAGCTCTCTCAAGCGACAAAATTAGCTTTGTATTTAACGATACTTTTTTTCCCAAACGCGTTGCTTCACTGAGTTATTATGGCTGAAAACAAAACCGAGTTTTCCGACTTCAACTGAGGCCTTCCGACGTTGGGGACTTTTCTTTAGAACAGTAAATATTACTTTTGAAATGTCCCAAAGGTGTTGTTCAAAAGAAGGTTTTGTCGCCGTTTCGAAATTATACAACTATCATAACAAAAAACTGCGCAATCTTTTGGTCGTAAATTTTAGTGAACAACAATTTAAGCATGCTGAATCGACAACGCGTTCTCGCGTAGGCAAGATATTCGTTTGTCAGTTTTTCCCTTCTGAGCAGAAAATTATACAATGATTTGAATAAAGATTTTATCTCGAAATATTTCTTGATCGTTTTTCCTTTGTCCTTTATCCACAGTTGTTGGTTAGAACATGATTACCTGGTCAACGCGAAACAGTTGTGATAAGCTCTTTTCTTCGTGCAGAATGTGTGCCTTTATGTCAGAGTTACTCTCGGTTGCGCCTGGAGCAACTCTTACGCTTCTCTCGTGGTTTCCAAACTTCGCACGCTAAGCATGAACTAATTATTTATTTGTCCGATCGCCTTAGCTCTTGCTTTGCTCGCTATTATAATTATCTGCCAATCTGTTGACCGATCACATTTCCTGTGAACATAAACGCGTCAATTTTCTGTGAATTCTTCACCGATCACATTTTCGTCACAAAATTCAACCAGGCGTAAGGGCCACTGCATCCACTTATGTTACACTTTTAGCGTATTGTCCGCTGGCCAGATAACAAAGGAAGTGATAGATGAGTTGCATTACTACAATACAGGCTTAGTTCTTGGAGAATGTTACTCCTTACCTTATCATCCTTTTATAGAAAATTAAGGTTATATTTAAGTGATGATGTAGTTGATAATGTGTTGCAAAGACTGTGAAAAATGCTTGTCATTTGTTAAGGATAGCAGCCAGTGTGCTTAGACATGTAATCGATGAACTCACTTTGGTGAAATGATGTCAATTCTGGCAAACGCGGATCAAAATTAGCAGACAGTATTGTTTGCTGTTAGTTCAACAGTAGGGTATATAACGGTGCTTTCCCAGCTTAATTCGAGGTAGAAGTTTTGGATGGGATGAATTTTGGTCAATGTTGAGCGTTTGTGAATTTTGAAGTTACCTAGGGGACAGGGTAGGAAAGTTTAGTTTCTTTGAAAGAAATTCCTCGTAGAGTGAATATTTTCTTCATTGGGAAAGGAGGCATGGTTATTGCACTGGCGATCCTGACTATCTTAAAAGAGTGTCTCCGAGTCACATAGTCGTTCATTAACCTCAGCCTCAATATTCTTAACCGAAATTTTTTTCCAATCAAAATTTTTAGGGTCGCCTTCCAGTAAAGTGGACAGCTTATGAAGCGCTGTTATATGGAAAATATACCACCAAAAGTGATGTGTAAGTCCTGTGCAATGAAGGTTCACTCCATTTTCTGTGTTCTTAACTATAAAGATGTACTTGTGGCTGTAGTTTTAAAGGATTTATTGGTGGTGTTCCACAAGTCTTTAGTATAATCAGGTTATGTATGTTGCTATAAGTTGTAATACTTTCAAGGGACAGGAAAGCCGAATGTTTTAAAATGTCTGATAGTTATTGAGTTTTCCGCATTGTTTTATTGCCTCATAGATGGAGCTATGGAGTTGTCCTTTATGAGATTTTTACAATAGGTAATACTTATTTTTTAGTTTTTAACGATTTACATCAGGCCAGTAACAAAGAGAGTCTCATGCCCACAACATGTTTTAACTGGGTTGATGACCAGGTACGAAACGACCGGGTTCGGAACGACCGGACGCCCTTTAAAAGGCGTTCCCTCTAAGAGGACCCGTTCCATGTCATTTATTAATTTTGATCATTTCTTCATTATGCCGCATAAAAATCTAAGCATAGCTATAGAATTCTGCTTGTGATGCAATAGACTACAAAGTTTCTTTAAATCAGGTGGTTCACCGTATCCGCGGATGGATGGCAGGAAAATTGCCAGCTTACTTCAGCAGGGATACAGAATGCCTAAACCACAACATGTGGATGATAAATTGTAAGCGGAAAAGTTTCTTTGAGGCTAACGCTCTAATGAGACCTGAAAATGTTAATGTGCCTTTGATTCTACGACTTTTAAGTTATATTTGATAAGAGATTAAAAAGCTTCAAACTATTGCATCTTTTTCTCCATCAGTAATTGAATTTATTCCTTTCTTTACGGAGATTTTCATTGTTTAAAATTTGAAATATATTAGCATATCGATTAGCATATCCATATTCGAGAAAATAACAAGTTAAACAATTTTGTGTGATAGCGATGAGTTCATCGTGAAAACAACTCATGTGTTTCGTTTCAATTTGATTTAATATACCATACGTATATCAGTACCAACCTGTGTTAAATGAAACGTAGGTACGACATAATGTTGAGATGCTGGCAAGATGACCCGGGTACAAGACCAACCTTCTTTGATCTAAGAAACCAGCTCAAAACAATGGAAACATTGCACAAGGTAAACTTTTTGCATTCAGTTATCTTACAAGGGGTCATTATAGAATACGTCGAGTTATTTATAGAATTTTTAATAACATCAAAGTGATCATGATAAACTCGTCAACTATGTTCCTTCACTCTCCATCAAGTTGCTTAACTAAGAACAACTGAAGACTTCGTTCATAGTTGCCAAGCGTTTGAGCATTTAATTAGATAAAGTCATGCAGAAATAAAGAATTCTTGATGGACATTGGGGAAATTATGTTATACTTTTCTTTCGTCCACAGAGGCTGATCAACATGAAAATCTACGACAAGCAGTTGTACGCAAACGTTGAGGATTTGGTGGAGTAGGTGATGACAAGTTGTCAGGGTTTGAGGAAGGAAATTATTCTCCCCTCTTCAATTGACGTTCTAAAAAATTATAAGATCACAAGGCGACGAATTTCAAGGCTAATGTTGGTGAAGTACCCACATTTTAATGGCAGTTAGTTTATTTTTTTTCATTCAATTTAGATTTAGTATAAAGCAGGCGTTTGCATAACCAAAAACAAAGTATCTTCAATAAACAAAAATAAAATATGAGACAAATTTGTCAAAACTTTGAAACCGTTGACTGGGTATGTAGATTTATATTGCATGCTTAAGTATGTATTACAATTCGTTAATTATATCAGAAATGTGCGTTTGAGTGACCAAGTTTTTAGAATTGGTTCAAAAAAGACAGTAAGGCATGTAGAGGCTATTATGGAGAGAAATCCTCCCTTTGGAGGTGGCTATCTTCGTTATCATAATCATCATTATCATTATGACTAGTATTATTATCATTATTATTATCGTTATTAACATTAGTATTTTTATCATTGTTATAATCATGATCCTAGAAATTACAATTTCCTCCATTGTGATTGGGTTTAGAAACTCAGAAAACAGTTTGTTATCGGGCAGTTCAATAAGCCAATCACATTCAAAGGTATAGAGTAAATCCGCCAATCACATTCAAAGTTGCAATTTGAATCGACCAATCACAACCATTCTACAGTTTACGCCGCTTTTGTCAGTGTCTTAATGTAAATTTTCCCTTTCTTTCATAACTTGACTATTCTTCTCTTCTGGAATTTGAAATTTTTATGCTTAAATGCTTAATTGGTATTAAGACTTTGTGTCGTCCAATTTGGTCTGTAATCATACTCATGATAAACAAATCAGACTCCCGCTGCGCCTCACACTTTCCTCTTACCATACAGCTAGTTTTAATATTTCTTGGTTCCTTTCAGAACCTCACTGTTGATCGACACTATATATTCGTATCAGTATGCTCAATTCCAACTATATATTTGAAATGCTTTGTGGTAATTTCGCTCACATGATCACGCAAAGTAAATAACCTTAGGGCTGATTTCATATGCAAAATATGTCAAGTGAGTTTTAAATAAGGGTCATGGCGAAATTTTAAGGCTTTGTATATGATTATTTACGACCTCCATTAGGAATAAAAATATAAGTCAAATTGTCAATAAAAATACCTCACCTTACTTCTACAGTGTGTTCCTTGTTGTCTGACCGCTTACTGTGCTGAAAGGAACCCATTTTACTGAGTTATCCATTACTACTCACAAGAGATGCCCAAGGGTGCACACTCCATTTCCGGACGCCCGATCCGAGAAGCGAAAAATCCTGGCTCAAAATTACTGGGCGGCCATAAATTCAACGTAGAATCCGAGCATATATACTGCAGTCTCATTTCAATTCACTACCAACTCAATCCTCCCCGTGAAACCAACGCCGAGCTGCTGTTTGCTTCTAAAATTTTCAGTTTAGACGTCCCTAACGACTCCCCGTATAGATGCATCTCGTATACTGCGCCTCTCAACTAAAAACGTTTTCCTATTAGTGGAAAAAGAGTCACGTATACAAGGAAAGTTAAGAGCTGTTTTATCTTAGTATTCAAGCCTATGTTGCTTAATCTTGGAACCAGTGTATCTTGTGCAAGATATTTCTCCTCTGTCCGAAGACTAAAAACTCGTTTTTGTGTAACAGTAACGCTGGAGTGATTTATTAACCAAGCAATGTTTAACAGTCAGAACAAGGAAAAGATATATTGGATATCACTATGCTTTCATTTAGGTTTTCAGCCAATGAAAAGAAGGCCTATCGATGTAAAGGGGAAATGTTTTTAAAAAACTTGTTCCCAATCAGGCAGTTACCCCCAAGTTTAGTTGTTGATATTATAGATACATGGAAGAAATTTTCTGGAGGGTTGGTGAGTTATGTTATAGACTGCACCTCTCAACTAAAAACGTTTTCCTATCAGTGGAAAAAGTGTCACGTGCCATGGTCAACACTCATTGAAAGCTCGGATGCATCAGACAAATTTCTGTACATAAGTGTGCACTTTTTTTCCTACGAGAGGTACGTATCATTTCATCAGTCGGTTGTTATTTCTTTTTTTTAATATCATGTGCTATCGTGCTGCTGTCCAGGCCGGACATATAAAGCAATCCAGAGCGTGGCTTTATCACAAGAACAGCCCTTCAAACACAACTTCTTTACAAACGTAACAAATCGCCAACACAACAACCTTTCATTTTGGATTACGAACTCGTAGAGCCGTACTAACCTGACAAACACAACGAAGATTACCTAGCGAAGCGAAATTCGAAACAGAAACTATCTAAACTTATCATATGATGAAAGGAGGTAAACAAGAGAGACAAATCACAATTTCAAAGCAAACTAGCTTTATCAAATGCGATTGAAAAAAATTAAAATGAAAAGAACAAGCTACTGAGGCATCATGGTGTTACGTATCTATAGCAAAATATAGAGTTGCGGAATGGACTTAACGACTTGTTGAGGAATATCCTCAACATGCTACTTTTTCTTTATTCGACATCATTTAAGGTGAGGAGTAAGGAGTAAGATTGTTTTAGATATGATTACTGAAGTGCACGTAAGCGATTTATGGAGCCCATGTCGCACACGTTTTTTGAAACAAGTTTTTAATTTGTTAAATCTAAATTATTGAGCAGCACTCTGCGAACAGTAGTTAAAAAATGTGAAAAATTTTGAAAATGTGGCGTTTAGTGAGAACTTATGAAACTCCCTGAAGAAGTCTACAACAGTTGGACAAAACGCGTCGGAGAATAAAGAAGTTTTACAACTACTATTCGTAGAGTGCTGCTAACTAATTTAGTTGTCAAAAACTATTCGACTCAACTCGTTAGACTAAAACGTTTTCATTTCCGGTTGCAGTTTTGAATTTCTATGGTCTTTTTTCTCAGGAAAGTTGAAAACTTTTCCCGAGTGCGGGCGGATATATGATGATTTCAGAACTGCACTAATCGACAAAAATCTTTTGTTATCTCTTTGGTCATTAGTTCAATATGCTCGTGGTTTTTTAAATCGCTTAGCGTGTAAAAAATGCAATTCAGGTGAAGAGGGAATTAACAAGTTCATGAAAGATATAATAACTGACTGATTTTTTTTCCTTTTTTAATTTAATAAACATTTATTGAAGAAACATTTGCACAGAACTAAACTTACATTACTCTACTTACATCACTCGACATCACTCTAGTTATTACATTACTGTACCTATTGGATTAGACACTAATACTTATTTCTTACTTATACTAACAGTCACTTATAATTACTAACAGTCACATATTACAGCGTAATGTTATTTACATCACACTACTAAAGAGAACATGACTTACATACATTACAATACAAAACTCGCAATTCACTAATTAAGCTCACTTGCGTACTTAGAATTACTTGAGTACTTTACAAAACGGCACCTTAATTACTTTCTACGAACACTACAAAATAAATTTAGAGAGAGAGCCAGTAGGAAAAAAAAGGGTAAGAGTTTGGGCTTTGATTTAGTTTGTCTGTTTCAATTGGCTGTTAATTCAGAAAAAAAAGGCTTCGCGGGAAAATCTGTGACTTAGGGAAGAGCGCATTTCTCTATTTGCCATTGTGGTATAGCTTTTCTTTTAAATTCCTGCATGTTTGGTTTTTTGTCAAAACATTTACAAGCGTAAATGTATTCTTTTATAATAATGACGAAAAGATGTAGTCTGCACTGTAGTCTTAGGTAATCGCTTAGGTGGGTTAAACGGGGGATGTGTCATTTTCCACTTGTGTCCACCTAGCCCTTCCCTCTTTATCTTTACTGTGGAATTGCTAGCATTGAAGATCCGCCAGAGCCCGAACTGCAGAGGTATACGTTATCAAACAACAAAGAAGCGAGAATTTTGCAATTTGCTGAAGATACAACCATCATAACAAATAGTACAGATTCTCTCAAATCACACCTCCAAACAATACAAGTATTTAGGGCCATCTCAGGGTTAAAACTAAATAGGAAGAAGACCAAAGAAATGCGGTTAGGTTCCATGAAATGTAATATTTGTAAGATACTGGAATTTAAAAGTACGAGACAGCCAATTAAAGTTTTGGGGATCTGTTTATCATATAATCAAGATAAGAACATTGAAGAGAATTTCCTCAGCAGAATTAGGAAAATGAAAACCAAATTAAAGTTATGGCTTTCGAGGGATCTCACCCTCTATGGTAAATCCTTATTAGCTATAACGTTAGGTGAGTCCCAATTGGTCTACGCAACATATTTGCTCTCTGTTCCAGATGCAGTTATCAAAATTGTCCAGACACAACTCTTCTCTTTCCTATGGAAAAACAAAAAAGATAAAATAAAGAGAGCAGTTATACATCAGCCCCTGGCGGAAGGTGGACTAAATTTTATTAATTTTGCCACAATGGTGAAATCGTTACGCTTAGCATGGATAAGTAGGTTACTAGGTGATACCGACGACTCACGGAAAGTAATCCCGAATTCCTATCTTTCAGAGTACGGCGGCCTTCAGTTTCTTCTTAAATACATCTATAATGCTGAATCCATAAACATAGGTTTACCTAATTTCTGTCGAGAACTGCTACAATATTTCCAAGAACTTAAAAAACACTACTGTGGAACAACAAGGCCATAACCATTGGAAATTATCCCGGTTTTTAGAGATCCTGGTTCAAACAGAAAATTCTTTATGTACAAGATGTCCCAAATGCGAATGGAAATTTTTAACAATTGAAGAATTCCAATAACTTACTGAGGAAATGATACGTACCTCTCGCTTGCCTTCGTCCATGGCGGAACTACACAACATCAGTCGTGTTTGCCTAATGTTTACAACGGTTTGCTTCACATTTACTTTTCTGGACTCTAAATTAGTCTTGCGCTCCTTTGAATCACTTTTTTCAAGAATAAGTCTACATTTATTATTTTTATTGTTTATCTTGTACCTCTAACTAGTAGGAATTTTCAAATCAGT